GATTCTCTTTTGTTGCCAGTTCAGGGAGTCCAGGTGGTTGAGTATCAGAGTGTTCCATCTCATTTCCCTTTGGGGTTGCTTTAAGTGATCTGGGAGTCTGGTTTTGAGACTTGTTTAAGTGTCTTCTCATTTCAACGGGGGCAAGGGGTGCTGCTGGCGCCCGTGTGGCTCACCTCCTCAGCACTGGGGGTGGTGGTATGGTGGCTTGGAAGGTTCACCTCCTCTGTGCTGGGGGCAACTCTGCCTCAGTGCTAGGGTCTGTGGTACAGTGGCCCAGAAGCTTCTGAAAAAAAAAATTTGTGCATGGTATTTCTTAATATTTCATAGAACTCGCTTGTGGTGCTTTATAGGCAGAGTTTTCTTTATAGTAAGGTGTTTAAATTGGTGATTTTAATGTGGCCTATTAAGGTTTTTTTTTTTAATTCTCATGTCTCTTTTGGTAAGTTATAATTTAATTAGTATTTTTATTCTTCCATAATACATCATTATTACATTATTTATAATCATTATTATCAATAATAATACACATATACAGTACATCAGTAATACATTATCCTTCTAAAAATGTCTGTAGGGTTTGTAGTGATGTCCCTTTTTCATTCCTGAAAATTTTAGTTTCCATTTTCTCTTCTTTTATTAACCAGTCTTGCTAGGAGAAATATCATTTTATTAATCTTTTAAAGAACCTACATTTAACTTTTGTGATTGTCTCTATTTAGTTTGTTCACTTACTATTTTATTAGTTTCCAGTCTATTTTCATGATTTTTCTTTCATCTGTTTACCCAGGGTTTAATTTGATCTTTTGCTGGCTTCTCAAGGTGAAAGTTTAAAGCACTGATTTTTATCTCTTTAATTTACTAATATAAGGACTTAAAACTGTAAAATTTCCTCTAACCCTTATTTCATCTACACCCCACAAATTTTGATGTACTGTATTTTCTTTATTATCCAGTTAAAATATTTTCTAATTTTCCTTGTGATTTCATCTTTGAAACATGAATTTTTAGAACTCTTGTTTAGTTAATAGGTGGGGAATTTTCCGAATACCATATTGTTACCACAAGACTATGGACTTTCCAGTTGTTTGGATCTGTTCCACATGTTCTTGTCTGTGTGAAAAAAGAGAGCTAATGTAATAAGTTTCTTTTTTAATCCTCTAAAGTGCCATAACTGGGCTTTGAAATTTTTGTTTCTTAGTGTCTTATATATTTTCCTTTTAAACATAAAGAAAGATGTATTCAATAATGATGGAGTTACAAGACAAATTTTAATGTTATAGAAGTTTTTTCCATGTATCTCTGCTCTGGATTATGTTCACTTAGCACAGAAACATTAAAAGAAAAAAGCTGTATTCTCAGGAGGCTGAGGCAGGAGGATTTCCACAAGTTTGAGGCCAGCCTGGGCCACATAGTGAGTTCAGGGCTAGCCTGAACTACAAAAGGAGACTCTGCCTCAAAAAACCAAAGGAAAAAAAATTGTATTATCCTAATACTAAGTCTGAGAATGGATTTTTTTATTTATGTAGATCTCTTTTTTTAACCCCCAAGCTAGGGGCTAGGCAGAGCTATAGCTCAGTAGTAGAGCATTTTCCTAGTATATGCAAGACTATGAGTCCCCATAAAAAACAACAACAACAAAATATCTCAAGCTAAAGATTATTTTAGCACTCCAATACTCTAATGATTTGACTAGGTCTCTCAGACTCTGTTTTATTAATTTGTTTTTAAGGTTCATGTTAATAAAGTCTGAAGAAATAATATCTTGTTACATCTAGCAAGCTCACCAAACAGTATGATATACTTAGTACTAAAGCCATATTATGTGCAATTTTATGTTTCTTGATGAGCCGACTGGTCCATCTGATCATGCAGTATTTGAAAGATCTTATTGCTTTAAAGACATCATTAAGCCGAGGATTTAGCTCACTGGTTCCAGTGCCTGCTTCGAAAGCACAAGGTCCCAAGTTCAATCCCCAGTACCAAAAATAAATAAATAGATAGATAGATAGATAGATGTCTCAAAATGAGATCTTTTAAAATAAATAAATAAATAAAGTCATCATTAAGAAAATTATCTACCATGAACTACAGGTGTATAAAAGGACAACTCAGTAAAAATCCAGAATCAGTACAACTCCAGAAGCAAATATCTATTGTATGGAACCTTTCTTCACTTTTAGATGATTATCATTTTTTAAATATAGTAGTTTAGTTTATCAAGTGTCATGAATATCAGGCTGAGAATTGTAGCAAAAGGTGGTTTCTCAAAGATCTTATGATCTGAGATAATAGTAAACAATCATACTGTATAAACAAGATGTACAAACATCTTGTTTATATAGTAAAGCAGCAGGAATTCTCAAGAAAATCATTTATTTTTCCATTCTATTTCTGCTCTGGCTCTGCCAACCAAACTAACTAAACAAGGAAGACCCTAGGGTGAACCAAATGTTTGGTTCAGTAAAGCAGTCTGACGAAACATTTTGATCAGCTAAGTCTTTTCATCTGCCAGAACTTTTCTTTTGTGCAGTTGTTAAAATCTAAACATGTTTAAGGACACCAGGATTTTTTCATGTAGCTCTCCAAAAGTATTTTATTTTCAACTGGGCCTGGTGGCACATGTCTGTAATCCCAGTGACTCTAGGAGGCTGAGGCTGGAGGATTGTAAATTTGAGGCTAAGCTGGGCAGCTTATCATCTTAGCAAGACCCTGTCTCAAAATAAAAAAGAGCTGGGGATGTAGCTAAGTGTGAAGGCTGTAAATTCAATACCCAGTATGGAGTACAGGTTGGAGGGGACAGGTTCATTCTGGTACTGATCAAACATATAGTTTTCTAGCCTCATACAAATATGTCTCTTCCCTGTCCTCTGAGGGACAGTAATTGTCTCTTTCCTCTTGTCTTTACCATGGAAGGAGCAGCCAGTTTCAAATGGGTGCCATGGTATGGGCAATATAGTTACTAGAGAGCTAGGTTTTAGGTCATCCCATAAACCTAATCTCATGTAGAACAGTCATAAAGAGCATGAGCTAGGGACAATAAAAAACCCTTTGCTGTAGTACACCATACCAATATTGCCCACAGCAAAGCATATAACTTGTCTTTTATGACAATCTGATAATGTTTTCTGGCAATTTTATTTGGTTCAGAATTTGAACATCATGGGTTAACTCATAAAGTAAAATTATAAAATGGCAAGGTAAATACATACGGTATAAGATATTTAATTAAGATACTAAAGCTTACCCTGCTTTCTTATAATACCTTGGAAAAGATTTGGAGTAGAACTTCAGCTTGCCGATGTTTAGTTAGGTTTGTCATTTGGAAGGGGCAGTTTGCTAGAGTGGCAGGGAGGAAACAGCATCTATGATGCTCAGTGTGATCGGGAACTTAGCGTTAATAAAATTTCAAGTAGAGGTGAATTTGACATATTTTATCATGTGAACCAGTTTTAGCCAAATGCTGTGGAGGAGACTAGGACTGGAAAACTCAGTGCCTACTTCTGGTGGCTGTACTCCTAAGGGATCTGGTCTCTCTACTCTGTGCTTAGAACTAAACAGGTGATGTTTTTGGATCCCAGTCAGATTCTTGGGTTCATTGTAGTTCATTTGCATAAACTTAATTGACTTATCTACAGAACTAAGGATCACCCATGGCCAACTTTTTCATTTTACTTCTTAAAGTAACTAGGAAAATACAGCCAATTAAAAAGAAAAACAAAGTAATGAAGGTCAAACTTCTCACACTCTGGACTGTCTGTTGAGTAAGGCCCAGTCTTACATTTATCAGACTTTACTCACCCTACTTGGTGTTTTTTTTTTTAGGGAACAACAGAGGTGGAAATTAAGAAGAAAGGCCCTGGATCTCTTTTAGTATCCATGGACCAACTGGCCTCCTATGGACGAAAAGACAGAATCAACAGTATAATGAGTGTTGTTACAAATACACTAGTAGAAGGTATGTGTCCTGTGGTGCCAGTGTGAGCTACTGAGGTGTAAATATGTAGTGTGCCCTGTCCCTTGATTTTAGTTTTGCAAACACTTAGCTTTTGGAATAGATCTTACTGGATCACAAATTCTCTTCCCAAAGCTATGTACAGAGAATCAGAGACTTCACATTTGCTGCCAGCATCTTACACAGATAAGAAAAATGAGGAAGTGGCAGAATGAGCTGGAAGACCTCAGCAAGTCTCAGTAAATCATCATGATAAGGAGCTGGTGGGGTGCTGTTCGATGTCAGGGAATGTGGGTGAAGCACTGTGAATATACACCATGATGGAATCCCCTTCCTGGCCTCCACCTCACAATATAGCTTCCTCTTTTTCTTTCTAACTACTTACAGTCCTTTTGCTCTTTCCTGAAGGGAGAATGTACTGTGCATTCTGATTGCGCCTAATTCTGCCTTTCTCCAGACACCCACATATCCATAAATACATTTGATGTGTGGCTAGGTAAGACAGCCCTTCTTACTTAAGGCGCTTGGTGCTGAGGGAGAACACAGCCACTGTTGAATCATAGCATGTCTGTGGTGATGTTGCTCTTAGTGCCGGATCCTCTGTGCAAGGTGGTTTCTCCACGACACAGCCTGACATGCTCAGGGTTTTTCTGTAGACCACAGTTTCCCTGACAAGTACCAGCCCTGTCTCTGGGCCTGGTATATATCTCAGGCTCCTTTTAGAGGTAAACCCATGGTAGATTTTCTCTCACAAGATCCCAATTGATTCTGCATGTATCATCTTCATTTGATTCATTTTGATTTAGCTGAGTTGCCTTATTGTATAAGAATAGTATCCAAGAATAGTACCCATACTATTCTTGAGACCTTGGATTGCTATTCTCAGAGTTCAGACAGCCAGGCTAACCCACCAACCCAACAGTAGAGACTCTGGGATAGCAACAGCACTTAATATTATCCTGCTATCCATGGGACAAGTTAGTTTTTGAGTCATTTAAATAACAAACTTTGGGCCGGGGATTTATCTCAGTGGCACCGCGCCTGACTTGTAAGTGCAAGGACCTGAGTTCGATCCCCAGTACCAAAAAAACAAAAACAAATAAATACCAAACCTCGTGTGTGTGTGTGTGTGTGTGTGTGTGTGTGTGTGTGTGTGTGTGTGTTGTGGAGGGTTTGCAGTAGAGGGAGAATCTCTAGAAAGGAACTCTCTAAGGTATTTATATCCCCACATATATGTAAGGAATCATACCCTACTGTCATTATGCTAATCTTGAAAGTGTATCAAGGAAAAAGAATATTGGACCAGCTACTTTCACCTGCTTGAACAACTGCTATTCATTCCTGTTTTCCTGTATTACCCTTGCAGTCATTGTCTCAGTTGGAATATAGGTATGGAATATCTTTAAACTTTGTAGCTTTTACTTTGAGATTGCAAGAAAATTGACTGCAGAGCATAAGATTTTCAGGCTACGAGACACTAGCATAAGGACTTTGTCTAGGTTTATTATTCACTTGAGACAGGATCTCTCCAAGTATCTATGGCAATTGAGAAATAAAAAGTAACAACCTCCAACACTTTATTATTGACAGAGACATCAGATGAGGAGAACTATAATGTAATACAGTAATTATTTATTATTATAGTGGCCTACAACTGGATCTGGCAAAAGTAGACATTCAGACATGTCTGCCAAACTGACTTTTGATTGCGTGGAATGTAGGGAGTGTTGGTGCTGTAACATTTCTTTGGAAACCTTACAGCTTCCATCCCTTCACTGAATTGGATACAAATCATTGGGTGGGGTGCGGGTGTCTTTTCTTTTTTTTCTCTCTGTTCTCGTCTTTCTGTTCTGCTATAGTTGTTCTCCACCCTCTACCTACCAGCACACAAATTAAAAAATAAATGAATGTTCCGGCGCCTGCCTGGCAAGCGCAAGGTCCTGAGTTCAATCCTTGATACCAAAAAAAAAATTTTTTATATGAATGAACAGATACATTAGTGATGAAAGAGTCACTCAGGACAGAGACAGCAAGACATCCCAGTTTCTTTTCCCTTTCCTACACCCTATTCTTCACAGAACCTGTCCTGTCCTACTCTTCCCCTCTTAGACATTCCTCCTATTCCCTCACTTTGTATTTGACCCTTTCAGTTAAAGCTGATGGAATGGAACTATTATAAGCAAGGAGCCATAAATGAGTGGATCTGAATATGAGGGGGCATTAAAGAACAGTAAGAAAGATCCATTCCTATTTAACTGTTGGTCCCTCTGTATTTATTGCTTGCTACATTAAAAGCTAGTTTTGAATGAATAATTATTCTAGTTTCCCAGACTTCCAATTAAGAAACCCTAATGTTATTTATTTATTTATTTATTTTGGTACCGGGGAACGAACTCGGGTCCTTGGGCTTTCGAGGCAAGCGGCAGAACCACTGAGCTAAATCCCTGGCCCCCTAATGTTATTTAATCCAACAATTAAAATGATTATTTTCTTAAAACCAGAGAAATAGGCTTCTACATAGGCTACCACAAGGTTTAGAAACCATAGTGGAGAATCCCAGAGTCCTGTAACCAATGAGAAAACCCTGCCTGCCCTACCTCACTCGATCTTGTTACAGATGTGCTCACCAGGACCCATTAAATTCACTGGTATCCACAGCAGAGCCATAAGCTTTGGGAATGTACCAGAAGGCTGGAGGTGGGATGTAGGCAAACTGTAATGTAGTCAGTCTCCTTTCCCAAAGCAGTAAAACTGCAAGAGAAGAGAGAAAGTTGGGAAAGTAAGAAGGAGGATTAGTGGTGGTATTTGGCACTACTGATTCTCAGGTAAAACAGTTCAGACACTTTCTAGAGGTAACTGGGCATAGTTATTACTACTACTATTCATCCATTGTTTTATTCAGCTGATGCGCATCAAGGGTCTTTGTCCAATTACTTGTCTGATGTCTGTCTTTCCTGTGCAGCTGTAAGCTCAGTGAGGTTGGGGACACTTCATGGCTTGTGCCTAGTGCATAGCCTATTGCAGGTATTTAAAAGGTGTTGAGTTGAGAGAAACCCCTGCCTTTGGAAACCTCTTAGTCTACTAAAGCCACCATCTTGGTGGATTTATGTGGTCCCTCTGGAAACAATTCCCAGTATGCCTGAGGCTGATACCTGCAGCAGTCCCTCTAAGAACACCCAGAAAGAAGCAAGATAGGGAAGCCTCACAAACCTTTGGACATCTCACTTCCTTGGGTTAACCCATTCTCCCACACCACATACTTCACCATCCAGGCCTGTAGGGTGGTAATAGTTTGCAAAGTCGTAAGTTACTTTATGCACCTCCCTTTTTACCTAATAATCTTTTTTAGTTCTTAAGCTCCACATTATTTTATTTTCTGTGGGACAGAAGGGATCTCCCCTTCTCAGTAAATGTAGATAAGAGATACCTAGTATCCCTATAGAAATCTTTTTGGTGCCCCATAGAATTGAAAAACCCTACTCCATCTGGCAAGACTTGGAGACTAGTGCATTGTGAAACACATGAGTTGTGTCATCTATCAGAAATGTGAACCGTCACAGCTTCAACCTCCATGTGCCAGCAAGCTGTAGACATTTGGAGAAGGGAGATAAAGGAATGGAACCAAATTTCCAAATATGTACTATAAGAATTTATGGAAATAAGAGAACCTTTTCATTTTCTTTTTTGAGGAAAAAAACTAAATTTACCTTGGGAAGGGAGAGAGTTCTTGTAAGGAAGAAACCAAAGCGAATTTTCTTCTCAGACTTCCTTTCCCACGCAAACTCCCACATGGTGCTTACTGTGCCCCTTAAATCTGAAACACCAAGGCAACCATTTTCTTAGCAACCAGGGAGCCAATCAGATACCCAACCAAAACCACCCCACCATGAAATAAAGCCATCACCATGGGCACCATCCAGCTGGTTGGAAGAAGGGAAAGAAATGATTTATAGCAGCCATCTCATTTGAGGGGAAATGTTGGGAAACTTTTTTCAATTCCCTAAGTGGTTATGGTTTTGTCAGCAGAATTAAGGAAAAGGAAGCTGTTACAGCTGATCCTGAAGAAACAGTACCTCACTTCCAAGGGTTATTCTGACAGGTTTTCAAAGTTACACCTCTTATGAGCATCCCTTTACCTCAAGGTCCTTGGATATTTTTAATCTCCACTATTATGTTTCATACATAATTTGAAAAGAGTTTTGTTACTTACCTAGGGCCTCATGTCAGCTGAGTGGCTGCCTTTACTGTCCAGTCATTCTTTTTCATCTTTGCTTTGTAAATACCCCTAGAAACCATCTAGTCCAGTGACCTTTCAGTCTTTGTGATGAGAGTCCTAGGATTCTGAGTGAGTGCGTTGGAGAAGGAAGAAGTCAGTTGGACTGGCGTCCAAGTTCCTATTCCAGTTTCAACCACAACAGTTCCTGGATTATCTATTTATGTATTGTGGTCGTGTGAGATCTTGTCTCAACGAAACAGGTTCTGCTTTAGACAGAGAGACAGAAAGATAAAAGGAAAGAAGACACCAAAGGAAGGAAAATGGAAGAATCTCCAGAGGGAGAGAGAAGGAAAAGATGAGACTAAGAAAGTACAAGACAGGAGAAAGGAACAGAGAGGAAGAGTGAATGGGGAAAAGAAATATGACTTCTATTCCTAACTCAACTGTGAATTGCAAACTCATTGGAGCCAGAGACAGGGACTCGTACTTCTTACTTTTGTGGGGCTGTACTGGGGATCGAACTCGGGACCTTGCGCTTTTGAGACAGGCGGCAGCACAACTGAGCTAAATCCCCAGCCCCTTTTTTTTTTTTTAATATGGAATGCTTCACAGATTTGCATGTCATCCTTGCTCAGGGACCATGCTAATCTTCTCTGTATCATTCCAATTTTAGTATATGTGCTGCCGAAGTGAGCATGGGACTTGTACTTCTTTGAGGGCATGATAGATATTTTCCATATGGTGGCTGGCTAATGACCCTTTTTATGCTGGTGAAGATAATAGTAACAACAAATACTTCATTAGCACTTACTGTATGCCAGGATGTTCTTAAGCACTTTGTAGATAATTTAGCTCTAATTTTCACAGAAAATTGAAGTTATTTGGTAAAGATCCCACAGTTAGCAAGTGTCTAATATTTGAACCCAGGTGTCTGTGCTTCTGGTGGCTTCTCAGATAAAGTTGTGATACAATATATAATAGATTAGCACTTAGTGAGGACTTAGTTTTGTGCCAGGCACTTCTTTACTTCATCTAATCCAGTGGTGGTGAACCTATGGCATGTATATTATTTGTTTTTCTTTTAAGACATAAGATGTTAATGTATGAGTTGTTTTTTCTAAACTCAAACCTTAGTATTGAGGTTTAATTGCAGTGTTGGCACTTTGCAATAAATAAGTGGATTTTGGGTTGCAGTTTGGACTCTTTTCTCTAAAAGGTTCGCCATCACTGATCTAATCCTTAATCAAATTCATATAATTTCATGAAAGGAGCAAACTTGACTCATTTACTCCTAGAATGTATAAAGTCAGTGCCCTGCTTTACAATTGAGGCAACTGAAGCACAGAGAAGGTATTTTCCTTGCCTGAGACCACACAACTTGTGAGTTGTTAGAGCAGTTAAACCAGGAAGTCAAACCGTAGAAGGCAAGCTCCTAACAACCACAAGTACGATCCTGTGGTAGGTGGATTGGGTTTCATTTCTAACTAGATCATTATTGAAAGGGAAGCAACCAGCACTGATCTGCCTCCTCTCTCCCTTGAGGAGAACTGAGGGATACTCTTAGGAATATCAGCATCCAAACACTTTATTATTCTCATAGCAATATCCATGATTATGACTTGGCCAAAGGATAAGAGTGTGTCCCTTTTGTTTTCTCACTGTGATTCGGGAGGCCTCTGTTCTTTATTTACTCCAGAGCTGGAAGAGTCTCAGAGAAAGTGCCCACCATGCTGGTATAAATTTGCCAACACTTTCCTCATCTGGGAGTGTCACCCCTATTGGATAAAACTGAAAGAGATTGTAAACTTGATTGTTATGGACCCTTTTGTGGACTTGGCCATCACCATCTGCATTGTACTGAACACACTGTTTATGGCAATGGAGCACCATCCTATGACGCCACAGTTTGAACATGTCTTGACTGTAGGAAATCTGGTAAGATGGATCACTGTCTCCTGATGTTATGATTTTAATGTGTTTTGCCTATAGGACATCTTTTTCTGGACCAAAACCTGGAGTTTAATTGACAAGAAAGCAATAGTTAATTGGATGACAAATGCTTCTGCACATGCCATAGCACTAGCGTCTTCTGCTAGCTGTTGTGATCCCTCAGCTGTTTCCTTTTTCTGCAGAACTTTGAGGATGTTATTCCATAGGAATTGCATCATGGATATGTTCATGTATAGCCCCTAGCATTTAATTTGAGCATGATTTCTGGATGGTCTGTCTGTCTGTCTGTCTCTCTCTCCCCACCCGCTATCTCACACATGCACAGTTTGCACCTTAAGCCCTAATACATTGTAGGCATATTAGAATATCATTTTTTGTTCTTATTCTGAAAACACACTGCAGAAAGATCCTTTACCTGGTGAGACCTTATAGCCTGTCATGTCACCCACTACACATCCCACATGATTCGGTGCTCTTGCCAGTATGTGTGTCTGGGGTTAGTGGCTGCCCAGGCTCAAAGCTGTGGTGTAAACCCTTGAGTGCAGCCCAGTGAAATACCTGTAGTCTGGAAACAGAGTACTCCATGAAACCTGCTGACTGGCCCTGAAAGTTGCCTGTGGCAGACATACTCTGTGACTGACTAGCACAGGGCCAAGACCATCAAGCAGAATTTTAAAGCCGTCAAATATCAGAGATAGTCAAGAATTAAGCCAAGAGAAATTTGATTTGATAATATTCATTGGTGGCAATGGTGGTGTTCTTCCTGTAGAGTTTTGTTTTTCTCTAAGTTTTTCATTTTCTTTGCTATTTACAGAATCAGTCCTTGATTTCCAAGGATTTTTTTTTTTAAAGTCAGAGTCTCACTGAGTGTCCTAAGTTGGGCTCGAACTTGGGATGTTCCTGCCTCAGCTTCCCAGTGTGCTAGGACTACAGGTGTGTACCACCACACTCAGTTGATTTTCAAGGAATTTTGAGGGGCTTTTTTACCTACCACCAACTGAATTGCCCATAGACCAGCCTAGCAAAAAAATGTTTTTTCAATTCCTTAAGAATTGAGTCTGCACAAAATTAAAAAAAAAAAAATAAATAAATAAATAAATAAAAGAATTGAGTCTGCAGAGGTCTAGGATAACACCTGCGTTAGAGTTGTAAGCATTGGGAAGACTTTGCTGAGAACCATCAGTAAAGAAAGAGAAGTCAGCAGCAAATATTCAGTGACTCCCTGAGGCCAGGCAACCCACAACCAGGTGCTAAGATGAGAAAGCACCACGGTGGTGAGAACATGCACAAGGATAGTGGTGTGCAGTTGTTATGGAGACGGAGAGTGGTGACCACTCAACAGACTAGGGACTAGATATGACAGTGAAGGGAAAGACAGAGAAATGGTGCCTAGACTTAGGGAGAAACAGGATGTCTGAGGAAGGAATGGCTTTGGAGTTTAAAATCTGGAGTTCTGAAAAATGAATTTGCTTTCAAGAAGAAAACCGGTACTTCTAAACAAAGAATCAGCCAATAGAAGAGAGTAAGATCTTAATCATTCTGCTTAGTAGACTCAGCCTATAAAGAATGAACATTTCTAGGGCCGGGGATTTAGCTCAGTGGTTTCACCGCCTGCTGCGCAATCACAAGGTCCTGAGTTCGATCCCCGAAAAAAAAAAGAATGAATATTTTGCCTATCAAACTAGAGTTGAAACATAAAAATGAAGAAAAGGAAATATATTCTAACTACTCAGAAGAATAATGACCATTGCCAACATGTCTGTCCACCTTCAAACATAATACTTTACAGCAGAATAGTTTTCTACACCTTTGTTTTAAGGATTCTTCCACTACCTCCCCCATCACCAATATTAGAGGTCTACAAAGACAAACCAGAATAGAGACTTGAGACACTTATACAAGATGCAAAAAGAAAAAATCTTTAATTTCTCTAAAATTGGTTAGGTAAAGCAAAATTATATTGTACAATATCATACCATTGTACCGAATTAGCAGGGCCCTAGACAGTATAGTGACTGAGAATTTATTTCATAGATATAGAGTTGGCTCTAGATTCTCATGAAGAATATAATGGCTACATTTCTATACTTGGGTATGTGTATAAGTAGAGCTTTAAAATTTTTGTGTGTCAGATTGAGTTTATGGGGTTTTTTTTCAATTAGTTATTTTCCTGTCGTCTTACAAACAGTCCAGTGATGCAGTCATTTTGTTATTTGATTGTTCTAAACATTTAATATAAATAATTTTGAATCAAATAAAGTTTGAAGCTTTAAAAACATCTGGAGTTCTGTTTTGGACATAATGGGTATAAGATGTCCACCCACTGAGGGAGATAGCAGTTAAGGCAGTTGGATATATGCTAGACCTCAGAGAATCTCACATCTGAGTGTTTTCTAGATGAGAAGAGAAACTCAAAGATATATTTTGGTGTACCACAGGTATCGAGATTGGTGGGAAAATAAAACACAGAATTAGAAGTCAGAAGGTTCAGATTTTGGTTCCTATCAGAGACAGATTAACCTTAAGTAAGCCCTTCATTTCAGTGGAGAAATTTTCTTACCTGTAAAATGAGGATGGTACCGTGTTCTCAGTGGTTGGAAAAATAAAATGAGAACCTATACAGAAGTTCTTGAAATGGGTAAAAGTACCCTGTAATCTTCAAAACGTGTCAGTATAATTCAGTCGAAGTTTCAAAGGATTAGAGAATTGAATAAACCATTTGACTGAACTTGAGAATAAGAGGATGGAAAAAAGTGAGATTAAACAGCTTGGTTGAAAGAGTACAACGTTGTCATAGGGTCAGAAAGTAAGTCTTTTCCTACCATCCACACAGTGAGTTAAGTTTTGCTTATCCATAGACAAGCAGATAGATGTTTTTGAGGGAAGAAGACAGAGTCCTATAAATTGATCTCTGCCTATTCCACCCTCTCTGAGAGAAAATGATACTAATAGGAATTTTAGAGGCCATTTAATCCAATTCCCATGTTTTATGAAGGAAATTGAAGCCTGGAGAAGCTATGAGACATATACAGCCTTTGTAACTGTACAGTAATTGTGTTTTTCTTACCTTTTTTTTAACAACCATTTGAACACAACAGTAAATTCATGAGGTGATTTTTGAATAATCTGAATCTTACAGAGATGTTTCAAGTACAAAATAAAAAAAGCTTTTGTAAAAGTAAAAACCAGCATACCCTTATCACCCCACAAATACTTTATGGTGGTATATTTTGGGGGCTTGGGGACAAGACAGGCTCTCACTGTGTAGTCCAGGCTGACCTCAGACTTGTTCAATCCTCCTGCGTCAGCCTCCCAAGTGTTGAGATTACAGGTGTACACCACCAAACCCAACTAGTGTGTGTGTTCTTTTTAATAAATGAGTACATTTTCTTACATAACCACAAAGTAACTGTCAAGATCAAAAAATTAACCTTGAAACATTACAGCCATCTAATTCTTAGGCCCTATACAAGTTTTGCCAGTGATCCCAGTGATACCTTTTATAACAAAAAGCTGCAATTCTGGAATTACCCATTGCAGTTCATTGTCAGATCTCTTTAATCTGCCTCAGCCCAGAAGAGTTCTTTTGTTTTTTGCTTGGTTTTCATGACTTTGACACTTTGAAGATTACATACCAGTTATTTTGTAGAATTCCCTCAATTTGGATTTGTTTGTTGCTTCCTCATAATTAGACATAGATATGCATTTTGGTGGGCAGAGTCCACAAATGAGGCTGTCCTCCACTCACTGAATCTCACAGACATGCAGTTTCCATTTGTCCTGTTACTGGTGATACTCATTTGATCCCTTGGCTAAGGGAGTGTCTGCCAGGCTTTAAAGTTACTCTCTTTCTGTTTATAAATATTTCTGAGGAAGGCACTTTAAAACTATCTAAATTTTCTGTTCATTCAACTTTTGACTTATTCCTTTATTTATGTCAATATAGGTAGAGTTCGAGATGTACCTCAATTGTAGAGCATGGGCCCAACAAATACAGGGCCCTGGGTTTGATAACCAGCACCACACACACAAAAAAATTAACCTATTTATATCAGTATGAATTTACAGTTTCCAGTTTCATCCAATGAGTTATAGTCTTTTACTGACATTTACTTTGGGGTTTTTTTGGTTTTTTTGGTACCGGGGATCGAACTCAGGGCCTTGGGCTTGCGAGGCAGGCGGCAGCACCCCTTGCCATTTACCTTGATATTTAAACTATACATGACTTGGCTCTTGGGAAGCCCTTCGGGCTGGCTTCAGTATCCTTTTGATATCTTTTCGTCATTTCACTCCCACAGCGGGGTGGACACTCCCATTCCGGGTGGCCTTAGTATCTGTGTGATGCAGCTGTCCCCTTCTCTTCCCACCTCACAGCGTCCTTACTGGGCTGTCCCCCAAAGTGGATACCTCTCCCTAGCTCTGACAGCCCATGCCAAACTGCTCCCTGCATGGACATCTCCGTGTCCCCCCCCAAGACTGACCTCCCCTTGCTGGCTTGCCCCTACACGGATGCCCTGCTGCCCTGCTGGGCTCCAGTACCTACCACGTGGATGCCCTCTCTCCACATAGATGCCCACCTACAGGCCAAAGACCAAATGGGGGTGAGACGTGAAAAGAAGAGCAAAGGTTTAATCTGACATGTAAGTTTAATTCCTGAGATTCTAAGCAAAAGTGAAAAGCAAATGTTTTTCCTCTCTCACCAAACACACATGACCTAATATTCATTTCTTAACTACAGCCCAACTAGATTTTTAGCCGAAAGGAGTTCTTTTCAGATTTTTATTTTTCTTTCCTCTGTGTTCCTGTAGCCCCTTATCCTTCCTTCTCCTTAAGGCCTTACCACATACATGATCTTTGAGGTTTTTTTGTCTGTCTCCTCTCACTTGGGTTACCAGACATTTCAAGTCTCACAGGTCTGAGGGATGTCTGGGATGGGTAGCTTGCAGTTTTAAAACTGGGACAGTTCTGGGAAAACTAGTACACGTTGATCATCCTAATTATAAACAGATCACTCCATATGAAATCCAGAAAAGTTTCGTGAAATCCAGATGTGCCTATCACCCTGCCTCCTGATGACTGAGCTCCTAAGGATCTATTGCTTTTCATGGTTCCATATTGTCTTTCCATGTCTTCACTGTGACACAGATAGGGCTTTTATCAAACTGAATTTCATTATCTTTGCAGTAGAGTCTACTGCAGAAGAGGAGCTGATTAGTCCTTGTTTTCATCACTTTTCTTATCACTGAGACACAATACTTGAAGGAAAAGAGGTTTATTTTGGCTTATGGTTGCAGTCCCTAATTGGCTGGCTCCAAGGTAGAACGGCAAAGCAAAGAGGCATAGCAGAGGACAAGCTGCTCACCTTTTGGTGGTCAGGAAACAGTAAAAAGGGAGAAGCCAGGGAGGAGGTAACCCTTTCAGGTTATTCCCTGAGTGACCGGTGTCTTCCAGCCAGACCTTACCACCTAACAGCAAGTCAACCCTAGCACCCCTGTGATTCAGTCACCTCCCCAAAGCTCTGCCTAGGAGTGCATGAGGCCTTTGGGGGACATTCTTCATCTAAACTACACAACCTCTTTCTAAGAATAAAGAGACTGTAGTCACTCCCCAGTGAACCTAAATTTTCTCTGCAAAAGCAATTAGGCACCCTAGAAAGTATACTGTTTCTGCCTTGTATTTCCCATGCTCCAGAGTAATCGCAAGTAGAACCCCATTTCTAGGACTTTGGAGCTTTTCTTGGGGACCTGGCATTGTAAGTTCTCAGACTGGTACCCAGAGACTTGCCAAATTAGAAGTATATGCTGATTGAATTCAGAATATTCTACTGAAACAGTGGTTCCCAGTTGTTTATTTTTTGTTTGGTTGGTTGGCTTTTTGTTTGGTTTTGGTTTGGGGTTGGTTTGATTGGTTGATTGGTTGGTTATCTCAAGACCTCTTTATATTTTTTTTAAATGCTGAAGAGGGGTCCAGGGATTTAGCTCAGTAGTTCTGCTGCTTGCCTTGCAAGCAGAAGGACCTGAGTTCAATCCCCAGTACCAAAACAAAACAAAACAAAAAATGCTGAAGAGCCCGGCATAGTGATGCATGCCTATAGTTCCTTCACTCTGAGAGACTGAGGCAGGAGAATTGCAGGTTCAAGCCTAGGCTGGACAGTTTAGCAATTTAGTAAGATCTTGTCTCAAAATTAAAAAATAAAAAAGGAGCTAGGAAAAGGTGGAAAGAGGAAGTGGGAAGGGTAGGGGAAAGGAAAGAGGGGAATGGAATTAATATGAGAAAATGTAAAGATGTAAACAAAATCTTTGTAAATAGGGAGGGCAAGGGAGTGGGGAAAAAATAATAACCAAGATAGATCATGTAAAGGTACAAGATTCCAATGATGAATATAACTGTACTGTATACCTAAAATGTACCAGTAAACTTAATGGAAGAAAAAAATACAAAAAAGGAGCTAGGGATGTAGCTCAGTGTGAAGACCCTGAGTTCAATCCCCAATACAGGGAGGAGGGGGTGGGAGGCTAAAGAATCACTTTGTAAAAAATTGAGAAGAATGGATTTAAGGTAATCCCTGTGATGCCATCTTACTTGCATTGTGATATGCTCCTGAAGAGAAAACGGAAGATTTGTAGGTAGTATGTCAGCAACTGTATGTAAGTGTCTGCATGTCATGAAGTATTCATCTAAGAACTTGTGTTCTAATAGCATAGTTCTCAAAGTGTAGTAGTGTATCCTTGGGGGTCCCTAAGGCCCTTTCAGAATACACAAAGTCCTCCGTATTCCAACTACATCTCTATGTGAGGCCAGGTTTTTTCCCTGTACTTAAACCCAAGCAACATGCCTCAGTGGACTGAAACCAGAAGCCAATAAGAGAACCTCAATATGTTTTATTAAGCCAAAACACAGGGAAGAGATTTACAAAAATGTCAGATAAACATGCCATTCTTCTACTTTTTTCTTAGAAAACTATATGTTTTTTTATCCTCGTAAAGTGTTATTAATGTAAACATGTAGTGGACATATTATGACCTTAAAATAAATACTTAAAATTTTTCTCAACTTTAATTTCAAATGTAGCATTAATAGATAGACCCAGTGACCAGGCTTTCCCTATTCCCATCCTCCCTGTGTTCCCCAGCCTCTGATAATCACTATTCTCTCCTCTATGAGTAGTTTTTAAAAGGAAACATCCAAAGCATACACATTCAAATAAACCCATTTCTTTTTGTTGTTGTTGGTTTTGTTTTTGTTTTTTTGGTATTGGGGATCGAACTCGGGTCCTTGTGCTTGCAAGGCAGGTGGCAGAACCACTAAGCTAAATCCTCCACAACACTTTCAAATAAATGGCTACTAGCTCTTTAAAAGTACTCTTGTGTTTCGTTAATTTCATTAGGTTATTTATTTAACTGCACTCTGACCTGTTTGAATTGAGTAGTTCTGGAAACGAAGATAGGAATATTGGGGCTGAGGACATCAAATAAGAGCCAGGGATGGTGGCATGTACCTGTAAGCCCAGCAAGCTGGGAGGCTGAGGGAGAAAGACTGCAAGTTGGAGCCCAGCCTGGGCAATTCAGCAGTTTAGCAACACCCTGTCTCAAAATTTAAAAATAAGAAAAGGATAGGGCTGGGGATTTAGCTCAGTGGTCCTGTCACCTGCCTCGCAAGCACAAGGATCCGAGCTCGATCCCTGGTACCTAAAAAATAAATAAATAAGAAAAGGACTGAAGATGTAGCTCTGTGAAAAGTCCCTGGATTCAATCTCTAGTATTGTGCAAAAAAAAAAAAAAAAAGAGAGAGAGGAAAATAAGACTTTCCTCCATCACCTGGAGACATCTAGGTATTGCTATCCTCAGATGTAAAGGCCAAGTCTGGCTTTTGATCCATCTTGGACATGTTGCATTCAAAGATAATGATAAAGCTATTGACTTTCTATTATTTCTTTTTCTGACCTCCTGCTTCCCCTTCCAGGTTTTCACTGGAATTTTCACGGCAGAAATGTTCCTGAAGCTAATAGCCATGGATCCTTACTATTATTTCCAAGAAGGTTGGAATATTTTTGACGGATTTATTGTCTCCCTCAGTTTAATGGAACTGAGTCTAGCAGATGTGGAGGGGCTTTCAGTGCTGCGATCTTTCCGATTGGTATTCCATACTTTTCCAATTTCTTTTAACATTTCCTATCATGCAACTAAGACCTTAGGTATTCTACTCCCAATTCCATTTGGCCTTTTAGTTGACTAAGCACCTAAAATCATGAAAACCTTCCTGCTAAATGTATAACATAGAAATTAGTTTTTAAAATTAGTAATCAAAAGAAACCAATTTTAGCAAGTTTCTCAGAATATAATGCTTAACCTAAATGGTGATGTGTTCCCAAGTCCTTTCTAAGGTCTAATTTGGTTTGCTAGTGGACTCTTCCTTTATTGAACATCCTCTTGAAGTGGTAAGAATATGTGTGTTCAAAGATGGCTTTCCTCATTTCTTCTCTTGCATCAACCCTTTCCAGAAATTGAGAGTAAAATAATGGTTTTTTAATTGTATTGAAATTAGTTGTTGATCAATGACTTTATTTTCCACATCATTAGCTAAGAATTTTTTACTAAGGTGTTTGAAGAAGCTAATGTTTAAATTACTCAATGACTTTGGAAGAATAGTTAATGAAATTCCCAAAAGAGCTGCCCGTAAGTACCAGCAGAAGTGATGTCCAGAGTAAGTCCCTGGAGAAGCTGAATTACTATGGGGATGTCTCACTCAGAGCCCACTGCTGCCTCCCTGGCAGTGGGTTGGCATCCATCTGGCTTAGATCTTTATCTCCTAGTCAGGAAAAATACCTAAACACTTGCACCTGAAAAGACCTGAGATATTGTCATCATCATATTCAGCAAATCAAAGAAAGAGAATCAGAACAGTGTAAAACTATTTGTAAAACAGAGATGTCATTCAGTTCAAGTCACCAATAACGTGCCAACTTTCTGAAACCACTGCTTACAACTATTTGGGTAGGATCTGACCACAAGTGACGTTTTTAGAATAGCTCTTACTATCTTTATTATTTAAAAAAAAAAAAAAGGATTGAAAAATAAAAGACTTAAAATAATATGAATAAATTTGAAGCTATATCCACAGTGCTATATGTGGTAAATCTTGAATTCTCAGATAAAAGACTCAAATTTTCAATTGGAAACAAATGTTCAAATCAGTTGCCTTGTAGCAAAATTCCTATTATGTTATATGTCAGTTATTTGTTGATTTATAACATCTCACAGTGATATTATTATCATTCCATTGTCCAAGCTATTATAGGTTTATTTATTATAATTCTCAGACTGTTTGCCAAGACCTTGTAATCATTCATTACAGAATGTTGAAATTTTATGATTGACAGGTAACAAAAGTTCTGTCCTCTGAATCAATAACAAAATGGGACATTTTCATAAGATGTTTAATATATGTAGAATTTCCCCTGTTGTACTTTTCCTCCAAGTTGTTCTGAACATACGACAAAGTTTCCCATCAGCCACAGATTACTTTATTTATTGGCAAACAAAAGGGTGATATTTACAATTTTTAAACACATGCTTTTTTAACGTGACTGGTGACTTTTTCACTGTCCTTATCATACTGATCTGGTTGCATACAAATCACATTTTTCCTTGATATGTCCCTTAAGAATTAAAGGGAAAAATCAATAGGAAAGGAATACAGTATGAATATTAATGAGTTTTCAAGAAGCAAATTGACTCAGGGCCTAATACAAGAGAGGCAGTATGCTAGGATCCTAGCTCTAAATTTTTCACTTACTGTGAAATTAATCAATTTTCACTTATCTATGCCTCAGTTTTTCCCCTTTTAATCTGAGACACTGTTAGAAAGTTCTGGGATTTTTCCAGGGGAACTAAATATATTTAAACTGATCTTACTAATTTTATATGGTTTTATTTCAGCCATGTGGCAAGAAAATGGATTGAGTATCATTTAGTTTTTGTTTGTTTTTTATTTAGCTCCGAGTCTTCAAATTGGCCAAATCCTGGCCCACCCTGAATATGCTGATCAAGATTATTGGAAATTCAGTGGGTGCCCTGGGTAACCTGACCCTGGTGCTGGCCATTATTGTCTTCATCTTTGCCGTGGTGGGAATGCAGCTCTTTGGGAAAAGCTACAAAGAGTGTGTCTGCAAGATCAACCAGAACTGTGAACTTCCTCGCTGGCACATGCATGACTTTTTCCATTCCTTCCTCATTGTCTTTCGAGTATTGTGCGGGGAGTGGATTGAGACCATGTGGGACTGCATGGAGGTGGCGGGCCAGGCCATGTGCCTCATTGTCTTTATGATGGTCATGGTCATTGGCAACTTGGTGGTTAGTACTAATTTGTAGATATTTTTGTTCTTTGCTCTGAACATCCTATCCTTGGCCAATCTACTTAGTCCTTCTACCACCTTCCATGTAGGTTGATGTTTATTCTTTCTTGACCCAAAACCTCTAAGGTACACCAATTATTTCCAGAGTGCCTACTGAGTCATGACATACCACAAGCTGGTAACCCTTTTTTGTTAAAAAAAAAAAAAAAAAAAAAAAACACCTTGGCAAAATTAAATGGTTTCTTTCCCAAGGCCACATAACTGGTAAATATCAGGGCTTTTATTTGAACCTAGACTACAAAGCCTGTGATATTTCAACTATATTTAAAAGTGTCCTTTTTCTAAACCAGGATTTCTCCACTTTGGCTCTATTGCCATCTTGGGCTAGATAATTCTTTGTTGTGGGATTGCCTGATACATTTTAGAATCTAACAGCATCCTGGCCTCTATCTACCAGCTGCCTGTAGCATCGCCCGAAGTGTGTTAGCCAAAACTTCCTTCAGACATTGCCAAATGTCCTCTGGGGTGCAAAATTGCCCCCATTGAGAACCATTGATCTAAGTTATTTTGGAGTTGGACTTTATTTGTATAAATGGTGAATCACTTTGTTGCATCACTCTGATCTGTCCACCTGCTGTCCTTTGCCTCTGTGTATAGAAGACTCACCAGCAGAGATTTTAGTATCTTGTTTAATCTGAGGACTAGCAGCAATAAAAGCACCTGGGAATATGTTAGAAATCCAGGATCTTAGGCCCCACCCCCCGAATGACTGTTTCAGAATCTGCATTTTTAACAAAATCCCCAGGCGATTCATCAGCACACTAGTTTGAACAATAACAATCTCATGGATCAGGTCTCTAAGTTCCACTTGCAAGTGTAGAGCAAATGGAACTGAAAGAAAGCAAACTTAGAGGATCCCTTATAAACTCACCCACATTGGTTCATTTCCCTTTGAAGCCCACCAGCAAAGTGTTCCTACTCACAAGCCTTTGAACCAGCTATGACTCTCCTGTTCTTTCATTTGACCTGTAAAATAGCTACCATAATATTTCTTTAATCTCTTCCATTCTTTGTTCTCAACCATCTTCCCCTCCATCCTAATCCCTCTAAGCCTTTTTACTCCTTCAGTGAGTACAAACCTGCTCCTTGGAATATAAATGCGATCAGTAGTTCCAGGCACTGACCCCAGCACCCTTTCTCTCCATTGTCTCAAGGACATTTCTCTCTCTGTGTCTGCCTCCACACACTGGAGCACATGGGACTGAAATCATCTATCTGCCCCCTTCCTAGGTTCCCCTTTGCTCAGTCCTTCTGCCCAGCTATCTCTAGGATCTTGTAATTTTGGGGTCTTTCCTTTTTCTTTTCTCCTGACTCCCAGCAAGTTCCTGGTACCACTCAAATATCACTTTCCTCACACATCATCCCTCATGGCATTTCTGTATATACACCTCTGTTCATAGTATTTCTAAGACCTGCCCCTTTTTTTACAATTCTGTAATCCATCCAGTATTTTTCAAAGTGTGATCTGAAGACCACCTACATCATAATCACCTGAATCTTATTTATTAAAAACAGCCAAGCCCCAGGCCCTACACCAGATCTACTGAGTCAGAATCTCTTCAGGTAGGCCAAGTGATTATATATTTCAATAAGTGTCTATCTCCACCCTACCCCATGGGTTCTTAGACATGTTCAAGTTTGGTATTACTGTAGCCTGATCCAGACATATCACCTCACACTTGCAACAACCATCTAACTTCCACTCGCCTCTGTATGTATCTGAGGAATGACTTTCTCTGTCATCATCTTCGACCAGTTCATTCAAGAAATAATAGTGGAGGGCCAGGGAGGTAGCTCAGTGGTTTCGCCACCTGCTGCGCAAGCGCAAGGACCCGAGTTCGATCCCCGGTACCAAAAAGAAAAAGAAAGAAATAATAGTGGGTCCAATTAAATAAAATTCGGATTCCTCAGCCTTGCTTTCAAACTCCTCTCCAACTGCATTTTGCCAGCCATACTCCTTTTTAATACTTACTATTCTACTCTCCCACTCTGTACTTATTGTGACCTCCACCTAAAATGTATGCCTTAATCTATTATAAAGCAAAGAACAAATATAAATCAGGAAAAGTCTACCTCACCCACCATTCAAAAGTCGGGTTTAATAAAAATTAATCACAGTGCCCAGTGTAGTAAAATAAGAAATTAAAGTTTGTATCTGGCTGCTTAACACATGGCTATGCAATAGAACACAAAGGTCACCATCACTTGCCAAAGTTTTTAATTTTTTTCTTAAGACAGAATCTCTTTGTGTGGCCTCAAACTACTTGGCTCAGTCTTAACTTAGTCTCCTGAGTATCTGGGAGTGAGGGCTCACACCACCATACCGGGCAAAGATACTTCATTTTTATAAATGTTAGGAAAGCAAAGCAAACACCTTCGTGTGTGTGTGTGTGTGTGTGTGTGTGTGTGTGTGTGTGTGCACTCTGGGAATCAAATCCAGGGCCTTGTTCTACCACTGAGCTATGTCCTTACCCCCCAAATTTATTCTTACTATAAGATGACATTAAGTACACTTAAGTTCTACATTATTGATTTGTTAAAAGAAAATGTGACTCTAATTTTTTCTAACGTAAGTCCTCCAAAATATCTGTTTATGAATACAGGTATCTGTGTCTTCTTCAACTTTCCCCAGTAATCTATATTGACATTTTTGTTCTTATTTTTAAAGAATTTTATACCAAAATGAATATAGCCTTTGCTCTTTCTGATTTTAAAAGAAGTAATATATTTTAGATTACACGCATACAAATGTAAAACTGTGGAAGAGTCTAGGCAGGACTAGCTTGTATTAAAACAAAAACAAAAAAATTCCTATATGGTGATGTAAATATTCAAAATAATATATGACCCAAACAAAGCACAACAGAACTGGGCCGGGGATTTAGCTCAGTAGTTCCGCCGCCTCCCTTGCAAGTGCAAGCTCCCGAGTTCAATCCCTGGTACCAATAAAAAAACAAAAAACACAACAGAGCTTCTTGATTCTGTTATATAAATTCCATTGGCTTCCAATTTGCAGCCCCTAGTACAGTGGATAACTTTTCCTAATACCATTCTACATTTATTCCTTTTTCCTAATGCTACTGGTGTAGGTGCTGAATCTGTTTCTGGCCTTGCTTCTGAGCTCCTTCAGTGCAGACAACCTGGCAGCCACTGACGATGATGGCGAAATGAACAACCTACAGATCTCAGTCATCCGCATCAAGAAAGGTGTCGCTTGGACCAAACTAAAAGTACATGCCTTTATGCAGGCTCACTTTAAGCAGCATGAGGGGGATGAAGTGAAACCCCTGGATGAGCTGTATGAAAAGAAGGCCAACTGTATCGCCAACCACACTGGTGCAGACATCCATAGGAATGGTGACTTTCAGAAGAATGGCAATGGCACAACCAGTGGCATTGGCAGCAGTGTGGAGAAGTACATCATTGATGAAGACCATATGTCCTTCATCAACAATCCCAACTTGACTGTGCGGGTGCCCATTGCTGTAGGCGAGTCTGATTTTGAGAACCTCAACACAGAAGATGTTAGCAGCGAGTCGGATCCTGAAGGCAGCAAAGATGTAAGGTCCCAGCCTAGAAACCAGCGTTGGTCCTGTGTGAGAGCAAACAGGGCTCTGTCAGCCCTAGGGATCGGTTCAGTTCTGGACTTGGGGGACAGATTCTGTAGTGTCCAGTTTACATAGACAACTACTCCACACCCCAGTGTCATGCTAGGCCTTCCCTTGATGGCCACACTTCCTGAGATGTTCCTGGGTTAGCTCCATCACAAGGAGGATCTGGGTCAGAGATTAAAATAAACTCTTAAGTTCTTCACTGCCATTAATCTGCTTGATTGGTAGTTCTGCCTAGGGCCACATTTGACTTATGGTAGATCACTGTCTTCTCTAACTGGGTTTTGGTGTTTTACCCCATCCTGACAGAAGCTTTGAGTCCCCGCAGTTAGGACTTGCCCATCATGCATTGGATGCTGGTGAGCTGGAAAAGAGTTACAGAGAAGAATCTCAGGTAGTACATCATCCGTAGCAGAGGTAGAGTCATCAGTGTCAAGTGGACATGCTGCTGCAGAGTTGCTTTTTCTCTTTTCCCTTGCATGTCTAGAAATTGGATGACACTAGCTCCTCCGAAGGAAGCACCATTGATATCAAGCCAGAAGTAGAAGAAGTCCCTGTGGAACAGCCCGAGGAGTACTTGGATCCAGATGCCTGCTTCACAGAAGGTGAAGGGCAAGGGCAGGACTGTGCACTGTTCGTGACATATGGTTGTGCCAGGGTGGGGGGCTCCGTGGCAGTCTTCAAGAACTTTGTTCCCCATCCCACCATTTTGAAGGAAGTTTGTGTTGTTTTTCCCTACTCAATGCAAGTTTCTGTTCTCCAATATTTCTTTATCCATCTTCTCTTGACATCAGCCCAAACACTGTCATTAAGAAAGGCTTCTTCTCAGGCTGAGGATGTATCTCAGTGGCAGAGCGCTTGCCTAGCACATGTGAGGCCCCAGGTTAAATCACCAGAACTGCAAAAAAAAGAAAAAAGAAAAGATTTCTTCTTTTTTACCTGTGCCTGGCTCCTTATTACCCTCTTCTTCTCCCCTCTTTATAGGGTATCTTCTCAACTCCAGGTAGGCTTTTTAGTCTTTGGAGCATAGCCTCAGCTTTGCTACTCTCTCTTGTCCTGAGTCAGGAATTGTGATACAGTCACCATCCTCCTGGCCGTGTAGTGGGGCAGCCTTATGCAGCCCCTAGGAAGTGGAAGAAAGGACAGGTCTGAGGTGGGTGAGTTTTCATGGTCTGACCTTTCTCTGCTGCTGGTGCCAGGTTGTGTCCAGCGGTTCAAGTGCTGCCAGGTCAACATTGAAGAAGGGCTGGGCAAGTCTTGGTGGATCCTGCGGAAAACCTGCTTTCTCATCGTAGAGCACAATTGGTTTGAGACCTTCATCATCTTCATGATTCTGCTCAGCAGTGGTGCCCTGGTGAGATCCAGGGGAGAATGTGAGGAGGGGCTGTCTGGGGAAGGGGAAGGGGAAACTAGTGGGAAAAGGCTGGATGAGGCCCCAGCCCAGCATCTCTGAGTGCACGTTGGCTGTGGTCACAAGGATAATGTTCTGTTAAAGTATTTTGGTCTAGTGTTCTGAGTCTTTGGGATCAGAATCCACATTTACCCACATCCTAATCTTCTTTAGACTATAGCATGCTCCCCTTCAAGCCTGAGACACCCTTTTCCTCAGGATGAACACACAAATTGCCTTACATCCTTACCTGGTTCACCACCCTATCCTAAGCAGCTTCCTCAGATGACCTTCTCTCTCACCTGACACCCCACATCTCCCATTTTTTTTACATGTCAGTTGCCCAAGATAGGAAGGTTCTGTTCCTCCACCTACTCCCTTCATGCCCTACTGACATTAGCAAACATTTAGAGTGAGATCTCTGGTGCAGAGGTTATTTATATTCACATTGTCCTTGGTGTTTATCATTCATCAGTGAAGCATACAGAGTGCTGAACACAGTCTCCTCTGCCAGGACCAATTCAGTGTTAGATATCTTTACAATACGAGCAACTCAAGAAGTTTCACTTTCTCCTGAGGTAGGAGAATAAGAGAGGCAGTAATGTATAGTAATGAGGAGCCCAAGGACAAAGAGGACATGAAGAAGATCATGGGGAGTGACAAAAAGGGTTAGTCAGTGATGCATCAGAATTAAAGTGGGAGGCTCAACGGATGGCACAGTGGCCACTGATCTAAGTGATGGGGAGCCAGACTACACTGCCTGTCCTGGAGCTATTTGTTGCATCAGTTGCACTATGCTTCCTGAAGCACTGAATGTACCCAGGGTGATAGATTCCCACATGAAAAGTCCAGAATAGGCAACTCTAAAGACAGGAAGTAGATTAGTGGTTACCTAGGAATAATGGATGAAGAGGCCAGGGGTGATAGCTAAAGGGTGTAGAAGTTCTTTGGGGGATAACAAAAATGTTCGAAAACTGTGATGAGTCCACCAGTCTGAATGTACTAAAAGCTACTGAATTGTACATCTCAATGGCTAGATTTGTCTGGCATGTAAATTGCTCCTCAGGAAAGCTGTTAAAAAATAAAACTCTGGACTGGACCTGAAGTGCAGTGGTAGAAGACTTCCCCTGCATGCAGAAAGCCCTGGGTTCCATCCCCAGCCCTCGGAGGTGCAGGGCAGGGTCAGGGGAGTTACAGCAGAGAAAGGAAGCCAGGGAGCTTATGACAGGCCAGCTGCTTGTGGGAGGAGCAGCCTGCAGTGGCAGTGCATCCTGTGGTGCCTATTTACTTTCCAGCACTATAACAGGCAGCTGCTGCCTCTCTTTCAGGCCTTTGAGGACATCTACATTGAACAGAGGAAGACTATTCGCACTATCCTGGAATACGCTGACAAGGTCTTCACCTACATCTTCATCCTGGAGATGTTGCTCAAGTGGACGGCCTATGGGTTTGTCAAGTTCTTCACCAATGCCTGGTGCTGGCTGGACTTCCTCATCGTGGCTGTACGTGTCCTGCTTTCTGTTGCCCACCACTTCACAGGGGTTCTCCCTCTAGTGGCCTGAGCTGCCTAGGACTAAGTTGTAGTTCCACATGTCAACACAGGGTTGGGTAAAGTCTCTCAGATCTTAATTTTGGGGAGGAGAACTCTGAAGTCCCTCCATACCCCAGGTGCAAACCAACCAAGTCTTTACCCTGGTGGGCTTGGCTTAATTTGGATTCAAAGATTAGGAGTGAGAAGTAGACTTATTGGTCTCAAACCCCCATGTTTTTAGTCTGGGAACTGAAAGGTTCTCCAAAGGAGCAGGAGGAAGGGGTGAAAGGATGAGGTGGGGCTGCTGGGTTGGAGGGTAGTGGAGTCTGTGACTGTCCTGTTCATGGGTACTTCTCCAAGACCTACCTGAGCAGGTCAGTTTACCAGGGTGGGAGTTGGGGTGGGGGAAGGGTTCCCATATTGCCATGTAGGGTTTTCACATTGACATTTCTACAGTGATCACCATGGAAGGAATCCCTTTTTCCTCTAGGTTCCAGGACCTTCGAGGCGTGGTAGCCTTGACCTCCCATGTTCTTTTCAGGTTGGAAGCTGCATTATCTGTTACCATTTCTCACCCTACCAGCACCTACTCCTTGTTGGCTTTACTATGATGCTTATTTTCTTATTTTGTATAATAAAGTTTTCTTCTTCTAGCCAAATCAGCATTTTTAAAAAAGGTACATAGGAATTGGAAGACGGGCCGTGGAGAGTCCCATCCTGCCGGGAGCTAAGAAATGCCGTGAAATTGGATTGATGAGAGAGTGGGTTGGTACAAAGAAGACAGGTTTCATTGGCTAGAAATCTCTGTCTTAGGTATCCGAAGCCTGGCACTCTGCACCAGTAATGATTTCTATTTTATAAATGCGTTCCTTTCTCAACACGTTGTCTGCAACTTCTGTGGTTAGTGATTCCTTCCAAGAGCTATCACTGTGTCCCCATTATTGTCCCCCCCGTTCAAAAAGCCAGCCTTTGAGGGCCGGGGATTTAGCTCAGTGGTTCCAGCGCCTGCCGCACTAGTGCAAGGTCCTGAGTTCAATCCCCAGTACTGAAAAAAAAACAACAAAAAAAGCAGCCTTTGGGAAGATGTCCATATGAGGTGAGGAGGCCCTTCTGTGAGCCAAATAGGTATGGTCCCAGAGGAAGCAGGCATGAGACACTCACAAGAAAGCTCTCCATTCTCCTTCAGCTACTGTTGATACCCATTTGTGGCAGAAAGGCCTTTTCCTTCCTCAGACAGAAAGCTGCAGCTCAGGCCTAGGCAGGGAATGGAATGAAGCCAAGAGCACTGAAATGAGACTGGGCCTGCTTTCTTTCTAGAGAAAGGGGCAGCGACATAGCTTCCCTTAGCTAGACCTTAGCTGAACTAGCACGCCATTTGCCCTAGGAACGCTGTGATTTGGAACAGTGCTTCCCCACCATGACCTTCTCCTTATCTGTCCCAACCTGAACCACTGTCAGGTTATCAGGTACCTCATATGCCTCTAGTGCCCCAGTCAGCTGTTTAAATGCATAGCAGTCTCTACACATCCCCATTTATTTAGCAAACATTTTTAATACTTATTATGCTAGGTAGAAGGGGGTGAAAAGATAATGACAGGCATATGGCCATTTGACTGCAGTTCATCAATTCCTCTCGCTTTGGGGATTTGTTGGATTATTACATTGCTGTGAGATCTAATGTTGGCTCCACAGAATGCCCCGTACCAGTTTTCAGCAAGAAACATAAACTGAATACCATGCTCTGTAGAATTATCCTAGAGCCCTAAGGAGTCATAGGCAGCCATGGGAAGGATAGCCCCTGGGAAGTGTATACTAGCTCTCAAGGCAACTTTGGCTTGATTCCAGGCATGTGGTTACAGCAGTCTGGAACAGGGCCCTCCTGGGAACCTCTCTTCTATTGACCTCTTATGTATAACAAAACAATTCATTTATTTTTTACTTGTCCAATGTTTATTGAGCACTCACAATATAGAAAGCCTCCATCTAGGTGTGCAGGAAAAACAGAGTAATAGACATGGGTACTTCTGTCTAAGGGCCTGAAAAGATGAGACTCATACACAAAGAACCACATATGAAGCAGAGTGTGCTAGGTGGGGACATCCCAGTCTCTTATAACAGCTCCACAGGTGGCTTCCTTTGAATAGTGAATGAGGAATAAGAGTTGGACTGGCAACTGGACAGCTGGAATTATCCCAGGGTTTTGCTGCCCATTTGGGTAAATCATCTGGTTCCACTGGCATTTTAGAACAACCAGCAGGTATAAAATTTAGGTCCCAATTTTGTACCATCTGAAAGACTCTTCCTCTCATTTCATCCACTGGCAACTTGATGTTGGAATCTGTCATCTCCACGTTTGTTTCCCTAATGGCATTCATTCTTCCTTGTCTCTTAAAGCTGCTGAGAGCACTTTTTTTTAAGTCACGGGGATAATCCAGACAACTTCTAAGGTCAGTTCTCTTTATTAATAAGCCATGGGACATTTTGTTTTGCTCGGGTCTTTGCTTCACTGGAGACTGTGTCCAGTAAAAGAAATTTGTTCTCCAGGAAAATTTCTTCCATGATTTGCAGAGACTAGCTAATGTATCTGTTCCAGGAATGGGGACTTTCAGAGACCACATACCTCATTCTGAACATAAACCACTTAAGAACATTCTCTGTGGAAATGTTTCTTCATTTTGAAAAAGTCACCTGTGTTCATTTTCTTCATCAGCCGCAGATACCCTCCTCAGCTTTCTTTCTTTTTTTTTTTTTCTTTAGGTTTGATTCCATAAAGTGCATGTATTCTGGTTATGTCCAGTGAAAGCTTAATATGGAGACTCAGAAGTTTATAAGAGAGCCCACAGCTGCTAAACAATAACCCAGATAAGAACTTTTGGTCCTGTCTCAGGAGACTTTGCTCAGTTGATCAGCTGAACACATTATCTCTCAGCAGCATTTAGAGCCAACCTCTAAACTGGCCTCTTTGCCTCCTTCTCCACCCTTCTTCCCGCTGGAGATCTGACTGTGAGCAGATACGTTACCCACCCTGAAGAGCCAGAGACTTCTTGCCTTTTATAGGTCCTGTAGCCACTCAAAGCTGATTTTCCACAATTTTTACCTGGCAGAGTTTCACAGGATAAAGTTAACCCCCAGGGACTTTTGAACCCATGTATTTGGTTACAGTGGGATAACTTACCTTTAGATATACCTGTTTAAGGCCTCACTAAGTATCTGACAATTTTAGCTTATTTAGGCTTAAGAGTTGAGGAACAGTAGACAAATTTTGCTGAGAAGTGTGGATGGAGAGCAAGTGATTGGATGGTACTACTATGATCTAGAGAATGCTTTTGAGTCTTTGTTTCAGGCAGAAATTAACCTTCTCTGGGTAGTAACCAGTTGACTCACACCTGTAATTCCACCACTCTGGGAAACTGCGGCAGGAGGATTGCAAATTCAAGCCCAGCCTTGGCAATTTATCAACTGAGTGAGGCCCTGTCTCAAAATAGAAAATGGATGGGGATGTAGCTCAGTACAAAGACCTTGGGTTCAATTCCCAGTACCTTAAAAAAAAAATGGTAAGGTTCACATCCCATTTCATTTTATTTTAGTCTTTTTTTTTTCAGTATTTGGGATTGAACCCAGAGCCTTTGCACTGAGTTACATCCCCTTGCCCTTTTTATTTTTTACTCTGAGACAAGATCTCATTAAGTTGCCCATCTGGGACTTGAACTTTTCATCCTCCTGCTTCAGTCTCCCTCAGTGCTGGGATTGCAGGCCTGTGCCACTGCACCTGGCTTCACACCCAATTTTAAAATTAAACCCTTAAGCCTACTCATTCCTGACCCTCACTAGATCTTTGACTTTCCTCTTCTATAACCTGTCAGTTCTGCTGCTTAATTACAATAAAAGAAAGTGTGTATGTGTGTGTGTGTGTGTGTGTGTTTGTACACTTGCAGTTCAAAATTACAGAATCAAAGAACCAAAGCCCTAGGATAGAGATAAAAAGCAGCAAATGAAACCAAATTATAGATTGCTTCTTTTTCTAAATTTCCGTAAAATACTATTGCTTAAGCTAGGTAGACCTGCAGCCACCACTTCCCAGTAGAGGGAATTTAAGAGCTGTTGGTAGGACTGTCCTAACTTCTCTCAGAATCTGTGCTGCATTGTAAGACATAGGCTAGTCCAGGAAGCCCTGAACCGAAACATTCTAGGACTGGATCAGCTAAAAGATGTATTCATATCTGGTGCTGCCTGAAGAGCTCTGTGTCTCCCCAGGATCAGTCCTAGGCAGCCCTAGATGTGGCTGGTTTTCACTGTTAACAGTTATCATGGTAACTGCTCTGAGATATCTGGTAGAGCAAGGTAAGTTTGCCCCTGTAAGAGTAGGAAAGCTTTTGACCTGAGTTTAGACCTAGAGACCTACAGACTTCTCAGAAATTATAACGATAGCTGGGGATTTAGCTCAGTGGTTCTCCCACCTGCTCCGCAAGTGCAAGGACCCAAGTTCAATCCCCAGTACCAAAAAAAAAAAGAAATTATAAGGAAAAGTATGGATTCAGTGATCAAGATCTAGCCCAGATCTCCTGGCCATGAAGGGGCCATGGTTATGCTTATAAGATGAAAAGATTATTATAGTTAAAAGTGAGAGATACCTAAGTGGTTACTCATGGGACCAAAATTTTGTCAAGGAATTTCCTTATTTGATTCTTTGCTTCTTGAGAACTATAAAAAGTCACTTGTGGTATTTATTGAATGTTTCCTTTGTTGATGTTGTGACTCAAATTCTCAAACAATGGTTTCTTGTCAACCAGGAATAAGAGAGCTTGTCCCTGTTGGAAACGCCATGGTGAATGAGCTGAGGAGGGGGCAGCTTGTATGGAGTGTGTATTTATCTGTATTCTTTTCCATAGGTACCATTAAATTTGTCTGGCTTAATTTAATGGGAACTTCTGGGACCTGCAGAGACTGTAAAGGGCGAGGGTAAGGTTCTTGTCATCTCCTCAGGCTCCTCTCCTTCCAATGGAACTTCCTCATTCCTCCCTCTCCCTTCAGCCTCTGCCCTTTCCAACTTGTGCATTTGTCTTACTGCCTCCTCTCGATTTTCTCTTCCCTTTGTGTTTTTTCTTGTGCCTCTCTCAACCACCTTTCCTTTCAGGTCGTTTGAGTCAAGTTGAAGTAGGCAGCTGGTGTTACCCACTTCCTCAACCTGGGGGCGGGGGGGGACCCAATATGTGTAATCAGTGCTAGGGGCTTTTATTCTAACACTCTGGAACCTCTGTTTTGTTTTTTTTTGGTTTTTTTTTTTGTTCTTGTTGTTTTGTTTCCTTTTTTTTTTTTTTCATTTCTCTTCTGTTTCTGTGTAGGTCTCTTTAGTCAGCCTTATAGCTAATGCCCTGGGCTACTCGGAACTAGGTGCCATAAAGTCCCTTAGGACCCTAAGAGCTTTGAGACCCTTAAGAGCCTTATCACGATTTGAAGGGATGAGGGTAAGATACTAAGAGCAGCTGATCCTTCTGCATGCCAATGGAAACTGTTTAAGCATGCTAGAACTGATCACATGGTGGAAAGATCATTCAAACACGAATTCTGTGATGCAGCTGCCTATTTGATCCTCCACTTTCTCCCTTGCACCTGCCCCGTGCGCAGGGGAGTTCCATTAAGCTGCCTCATCACATTAATATTGGCCCCACGCCCAACAACATGCCATCGCAGAACATGTTAACATTGGCTATTCTCATTTGGCCTGGCTTACCTGTAGCACTTGGGGCGGCTTTCTGGGCTGTTGATTTAATAGGGAGAATCACCAGGTGCAAAGAAGGGGAATTACAACCCTAGACCCACTGAAAAGCATAGGCTGCAGGCAGGGAGAGTGTCGTGTAGAAGCATCAGCCAGCTGGGGACTGTGACCTGGGAGTCACTGAGAAAGCAGTGGAGAAGGGGCTTGAAGACAAGGTGGCAGGCCTGGAATTGGGGATGGAGCCGAATTGGGATGGCCCTGGGAGAAGAAATGCTTTTCTTTCTATTCTGATTCCTCTTATTGCACCTTGTTGTTCTCAGCCCAGTCCCATAAGGACTGGCAGCCTCTGTCTGATAGCAAAGCTTACCTCCTCGCCCCCACCCCTCTGCCCATGCTATACGGTCCCCTATCCTCACACTGTCAAAACAACACCAGAAACAATGCCAGATGACTATCAGCTAGTTTTGAAATTTCTCGAGGCTTCTTATTCCTGCTTTGGTGATGTTCCACCCAAATCCAAACAATGCAAGGGGCTGTCAACCTGCCAACTTAGAAATAAGGCCCTTTCTTTTGGCGCCTTTTTTCTTGTTCCTTTTGGTTTTAATGATTGTGCGTATGTGCACACGTGTGCACATACGCACATGGAAAAGTTGATCTAAAATCAAGTGGACAGCTGGTTTTGGTGTTGATAGTTGTCCTGTGGTAATCAGAGAGGTCTGATATACTTAACGAGACCAAGAAAACTCATTTCAATTGAGATGTTGAATACATGCAGGAGAGCAAACCAGAGGATATGTTTTCAAATGTGCAAATAGCAGCATATAGGAATAAAACGAAAACATTGCAATAGTACTCACAAAGCATGACTGATTGGAGAAACCAGATACCAGGACAGTGCTGCTCCATTCATTCCTCATCTGTGATCCCTGGCTGCTACTCCACAAAGGCACTCACAGTTGTATAGGAGGATGAAAATTTCACTGGGACTTGGGGATTTTATTATTTTAGTTTATTCAGATAAATGCTTTTTGCAATAAACTCATGTTTCTTCTGTAGCACAGTCACAGTTTGGTTTACTAAATGTGAGCTTTCTGTAGCCCTCCCAAAACCATCTGCAGGAAGGGCAGTTATAAAACAGCACAAATTTATTTTAGCTAAAGAAAGAACTGGGGTTCTAAGTCTTTCTCCCACAGGTAAGAATGGTTTCAGAACGTATCCAATAAAGTTATTGCCACAGTCAGGCTAAAGTTAGAGAAAGAGTATACCGCACAGGACTCAGTGGTTTAGATAGCATGGTGTGGCTGAATATAGAGTTAAAATGGTCATATCTACTGCCACACCACATTTTTGTGGGATAAATTTTTTAATCATAGTGGTTTTGTTATAGAGCTGATAATTCATTTTGATGACTGAAAAACTGAGGACAGCATGCAACTAAAAAAGTTTCACGAGGACAATACTTGTAATGCATCCCTGCAATCCCTCACATCCCCTAACGATAGTCCTGGTTCTCCTGAACAGAAATTGATCATATCTGAAGAAAGCATCCCCCTCACATCCCCCCACAAAATGCCCAGCTGACACTTGTTATTAACCTCCTTCAGTTGCTCTGCTGTCACCTCTGCCCTTGTGGCAGAAGTAGTCCTCAGGGACCAGCTGAGGACAGTTTGCTCATGTGGAATTTACATGAGTAATGTGAATGCAGGAGCCCTTTCAGTAATCCCACCTTTTCCTTTTACAGTGGACCCTTGACTTAACAAACTCAATTTGTTCAAGAGAGCTGGTTGTAACTCAAGTTGGTCAATTCAAGGCCCAGGCTTTTACACAGCCTTCCAAGTCTCTCTCCTGTATACAGGCAGATCTCAGTGTCCTTAGACATTGGTCCAGGATTTCTCAAATAACCCCCTACAGGAAAGGATGTTGTAATGTTCCTTCCAGAACTCCTTAAGGGTTAAATCTGTATCTGAGACCATCAGGAAGCACAAGGGCCAGCATTTGGGTTGTAACTCAAGACTTTGGTTGTAAGTTAAAACAAATTCTATATATAACCCAAGTTGTTCATACGTCAGGCAGGTCATAACTTGAGGGTCCACTGTAGCTCCTGTTTTTTCCTGCTTCCCTGAATTTGTTTCCATTTCATGAAAGAAATTTTACCATCAACTCTCAAATAGTTTAGAAGCACAGAGGTCTAGAATAGGAAATCAGAACAGTAGAAAGTTTTGTTTGGAAAGCATCTGCCACAAGCTTTTTTCAGTTAAGATAATATGGGCAGGGGCCAGGGATTTAGCTCAGTGGTTCCGCCGCTTGCCTCGCAAGAGCAAGGTCCTGAGTTCGATCCCTGTACCCCCCCCCAAAAAAGATAACACGAGCAGGAACAAGTTTAAGCCCAAAGCTGCAATTTAAAACAGTAATGTTCATGGGCTGGGGATTTAGCTTAGTGGTTCTGCTTCCTGCTCCACAAGCATAAGGACCCGAGTTCGATTCCTGGTACCAAAAATAATAATAACAAAAATAAATAAAACAGTAACGTTCAGCAAGGGAAGCTTTGGTGTAATGGAGGTGCCACTCTGTTCACTGGACACCAGTTAGCCAGCAGTACTGACGGTAGCTGGTGAGAAGGCTCAGGGATTCATTCCTGCCCTGCAGTTTCCCAACCTTGCCATGGAAATCATTGCAAGAAGAGATTGAATTTGGCTAAGTTTCCCAGTAATAAACAGAATTAAGTACATATGTTTTATTTAAATGTTACCTTTCTGTGGGCACATGTGTTTTTCATTCTTTAGTTTCAATTATTCTGTATGCCAGCATTTGTGAGATTATCATCCAGAACATTTCAAATAAGAAAGCCTCATGAACTGAACACCATCCATTCAGATGGGCTCAACTGTCACTGTGCTGCTCCAATTATAGACACAGACCTCTTGAGAGGGAGCATCTGCCCCCAGCCTGTCCTGGGATATTCACTTAATTCTCTTCTCTCCTTCCTCAAACCAAAGACCAGAATATTGAAACACTCCTGCTATTGGCAAAGGAATATTTAACGTAGTTCTTTGCTTTTCTCTCCTTCATAGTAATCCTTAAAGATTTTCCTGTGCTATTAAATTTTTTAGGATATATAATAGTAATGCTGTGAAACATGCATGCATTTTTGTTGTCAGTATATAGTTGTCCATTAAAGCCATGTTCCCTCTGCCAGATATTATATTATATTATATTATATTATATTGATAGATTTTATAATATTTAATGGGCAGCAATAATATCTAGGCAAAGAAAAGAGTAAAATGCTAGAAGAATCAGTTTCCATTGGAAATTTCTCATCAGTCGGGATTTGTATCAATTATTAAATATAAATTTCCACTGAAAAGTAACTTTATAGAATTCTAGAACCTAACTTTGACTATTCCTATACTATGTCTGGTTTTTAGCAGTGATACATTTCATCATGATTAGACTGTAACTAGAGAGCAGTGGAGCCCAAAAGAGGGGATCCCATTTACTGAGCAACTGTCAGTAGAAGCTTGAATTATCATTTATAATGTATCTTTAGTGTGAGTTCAGAATAAGAACTGGCTTCTTGCTCTGTGGAAACTGGTTTCTTGCTCGCTGAAAGTAACAGCACAATGATAATTCTGTTTAGACCACTGTTAAACAATTTTTATTTTAACATGTGGTAGCTTATCAGCTGATGTTCACAATAAGGAGTTATTTGTAATGTTTACCAACTCTGTTCACTTAGTTCATGAGGCGAAGAAGTTTTTTGGTTGTAATTGGTAAATGAAAGTACATTTGCATCTTACAAATACTTTGCATTCTATTAAGATTTTTGTCATAATCAGAAATAAGACTCAATAGATTCTTTTGTTTATTGAGTACTTTGATCAGATCTATGAATATAGAAATTCAAAGACATCACATAGATGATTTTTCCATGCTATAAATATCCATATTTAACTTTTAACACATAGACACCATGTAGGATGGGGTAGCCTGGGTTCAAGTAGAAGTTTAAGATTATTTTTTTTTATAGTGATAAGGGTTCCTGGAGGTGGTAGATTCTGGATTGAGATAAAAACCAGCATTTTTAGGTTTCCTCATTTTGGGGCCTACTTCCCTACTTCACATTGGTAATAGTGCAACAGAAGGTCATGAACTCATTTAAGCTCTGCTGCAAAATGCTGTCACATAGACTTGAGCCTTTAAATCTTCACATAACCTCGCATTGTTTAAAAAATGGTTGTGCCATTTGTGGTCCATCCTCCTTTTGCCTGTTCTTTTGCACATTTCATTGCTTTTTGGTGCTCCCACCAAAGGGTGAACAGCTGTAGAATGAAGAGATAAAATTCAAATCTGATTACTTGACCAATTTGATAACATAAATACATATAAATGAATTGCATTCTCCAAAACAACATTGAAGATTTTCAAAATTTCAGATAGAGTTCCAAATTTCAGATATTGCTCAGAATGATAAACATTTTTTACTAATGACAAAGCTATCAAATCTAGAAGAGATTTCTTGGTCTAAGAATTAAGAAATAACTGCCTCTCAATCTCAAGGAATTCATATATGAGTTGAAGAAACAAGAAAACAAGTATTTTAATCTAAAAGAGAGTGACTCCCTAGCAAAATGTTGTTGCCTTTTTTGTACAGGACAAAACAGGCATCTCAGACACATGTTCTGATGAGTAACAATGCAGTTTAAGGCAAAACTAAAGATAAGGAAAACCTAAACCCTGTAGAGCTCAAGAGAGACCCCAGAGCTGCCCCCTGGCCTCCCTTGTACAGCATGAACTTCCCACCTTTTCCATGCTGTGCTGGGTGGCAGCTACTTGTGACTTATGTGCACTGAAAAACCAATACAGGGGCATAGTATTAATATTTGTTACCTTTTCCAGCAAAACATCAGGAGACATCAGACTTCATTTATATCCAGTGTCATTATTTTCACTCCATTAATCCACCTCAGATTCTAGAAAGTGGAAGAAATAATCTTCCCACATTAAATTAGTGAAACTTTTCTGAGCTTTATCAGCCCCACTTAAGACAACAGTAAGAATTAGGGAAGAGATGAACCCAGTCTTGTGTTCTGTCCCGCCACTTGAAAACTGACCTTTGGAAACACTTGAACACCTCTAGTGAAAACTGCTACAACAGTGGAGGTGTTGTGAAGCCACTCTTACTTCGAGTGTGAAGCAAAACCCAAGTTAAAAACAACCTAAAATCTTCAATTCCTATGGGCTTTTTCCTTTGCTTTTTTTTAAAAAAAAAATTCCTGAGCTTACTGTAATCAGTGATTTTTAACAACATGCCAGTTGTTGAGTTTCAAGAGCAATGATCTAATCCAAAACTCTTAAAAAAGAAAAAAGAAAAACCTTATCATTTTGATTTCTGATACGTTGTGAAGAATGGAATCAAGCCCTGGACTGAGCAGAGACATCAGCATTAGCCAAGCAGGGGTGACTTAGATTTAGAAACCTACAAAGTCAAAAGAAAAGGCTAAAGAATGAACTAGTGAAAAGCACGTATGTTCAGATTTCATTATATGCTTTTTGGTAGAGGGAATATAGCTTTTTTTTCTTGAGCCTGCAAAATATGCATGCTCAGCTATTGCCTGAAATAAGATAACTGGCCTTGCATAGTCATAAAAGAGACATTATGTACCATTGAGTGGTTCACTGCTTACCCAAAGGGCGGTTCTGAGTGATTTGGAACAATCCTGTCTTGTTTTTCAGAGGGGGAATGTCTATTGAAAGGTGACTAGTGAGCTTGCAATTTCTCAGATTTTCTCATGGGGGCATATTTTATGCATTGAAGAGGAGGGAGACTGGACTAAGAAATCATTTTTTCACCCAGGTTGGTGCCTAGAAGATATGATCAGGGTCAACTTGTGCAGGGAAGTTTTTATTAGTTTAAATAAAGATATAATTTTTTAAATTTCCCAAAAATATAGTTCATAGATTAGAAATTTGGGGTCCTACTTACGGATCTGTCCAGTCACTCTAATTCCCAAGAGAGCATAATGTTTCCCTAACAGAACAAGCTACACAAAAGTCATTCCCCTCCTGGAAAGCAGAAGAATGTGCTTCTCCCACTTCCTTCCAACATTCAGCTTCCCCCCTTCCAATGCAGGTGGTGGTGAATGCCTTGGTGGGTGCCATCCCCTCCATCATGAATGTGCTGCTGGTGTGTCTCATCTTCTGGCTGATTTTCAGCATCATGGGTGTTAACCTGTTTGCCGGAAAGTACCACTTCTGCTTTAATGAGACTTCTGAAATCCGATTCGAAATTGAACATGTTAACAATAAAACTGAGTGTGAAAAGCTGATGGAGGGGAACAACACAGAGATCAGATGGAAGAACGTGAAGATCAACTTCGACAACGTTGGGGCAGGGTATCTGGCCCTTCTTCAAGTAGTAAGTATTGTTATTTTTTTAGTCCTGGAAATTCATGTAGCAGAAAACCTCATTTGGTTCCTTTTCAGTTCTGCTTCTGGAATCAGGATTACCCTATATCGGACCATGAGAACAATGTTATTTCCCAGACCAGTTTCAGGGAAACATACCCTCCTACAAGATCTCATTCAAAGGGAATCTCTCTTTGTGTTCAGAAGCAAAGTTCTGCTCAGCAATAAATAAAGATTGCAGAAGCATAATATAGTAGTAGAGAGATCACCTTCTCTTCCTTGGTTGGAATGTGTGCTTAAAGAAAAGGAAAAATCAAAAGAGTAGGATAAACCCATGTAGTAGCAACAGTAAAGTAGAGGATATGGTCGTAGGACTGGGGATGTCGCTCAGTGGTAGAACACATGCGTGAGGCCCGAGGTCCCATCACAAGCACTGCAGAGAAAAAAGTGAAGTATGGCAGAATCCTGATGCTGCTAATCCTATCAGCTCAACCCCAGATAAAAGTCTCAAATTAATGTGTCACAGTAAGGAAGGATGTATTTTGATTACTGGATGTGGATAAGTCTCTTGCCTAATTTTATTCCATTATGCCTCATTTTCTCTTCCTCTCTCACCAGTTTTTTTGGAATGCTTGACAAGAAAGTTGATGCAATGAAAGCTTATCTAGGCTTTAGAATCAGACAGATGTAGACTTGAGCCACACTGTGATATTAATTGTATATATAACTTGGAACAAATTATTCAACTTCTCTCTCTTGTTTCTTCATGCATTCGATATATTAGATATAGATCATAGTGCTCTGCATAGTTTTTAAGAGAATTCATGGTTTTGTTTTTTGGGTTTTGGGGTGTTTTTTGTTTTGGTGATGCTGGGGATTGAATCCAGGACCTTCTCATCCTCAGTTCTTTTTTATATATTTTGAGGCAGGAGCTCACTAAACTTCCCAGGCTGGGTTTGAACTTCTGATCCACCTACCTTAGCTTCCCAGAAGGTGGGGTTACAGGCATGGGCCACTGGGCCTGTAATTCTTGATTTTTTTTTTTTTAATTCTTACAATCACACATAGCATGTAGCAGTGCTTAATTAATAGTAATTGCTATTATGTGCAGTATTTTCATTACTGTTACCACCACTCCCACATCATTCAGTTATTGGGAGTATTAAATGCAATACTGCAGATGAACCTCTCAACCAACCTAACACATAGTAAGCACTCACTGTTAGATAGTAATAGAAGGCACAGTGAATGGAATGAGCTGTATTTTATCCCATCCAAAGTTCCTTTGCATTTCTATCCCAGTTCATTAAATTGGACCCACAAATTAAATCTGAACTGGAGCAGCTCCAGAAAGCAAACACACGTCAACCAGCCAGTGAGATATTGTGTTCGGAGTCCCTGCCATATGAGAGGCACCATGCAGTAGGACCATCAGATGAAAGCTTAGAATCTGTTGAGCAAATAAAACATGGAGGATATTAAATTGTTTACTTGTATTTGTTTGTATTTACTTGTATTTGTTTCTAAAAACAGGCTAGAGTAGTCTGAAGGAAAATTAGAAAAGGACCTTCAAGGATGAAGCCAGTATTGCCACTACCATAAGGATACATGGGTATATACTAATAGGGATTAATTTCTGACCTGATTGTTTTTTAATGTGTGAATTTTTCAGACTCCTGCTGCTTATTTAAATACCTTTTTTGAAAACAATTCCCCAGTGGAGAAACAAGTTCTAAGCACCGGCAGCAGATTCCCACCACTCACTCATAAACAGGCCTTGGCCCTAGCTTCAGGCAGCCTTCTCAAGCTCATTTTAAGACCTTGTATGAAAGCATTGATGCAATTTCCATCATCAACATGTGACTTTGCCAAAATTTGATGTTACCCAAAGCCCTCTGCAACCTGTATTGATAAAAGGAAACCCTCTGTCCATGGGAGCCTAGGTGCAAACTCCCTGTCCAGTGTTTTCTCTGAACCTAAGCCTGGCCTCTGGGACCCCTGCCTAGACTCTCACACCCTCCCTAATAGGCACAGTCTAATGAGTGACTCTGTTTGCCAGGCAACCTTCAAAGGCTGGATGGACATCATGTATGCAGCCGTAGATTCCCGAAAGGTAAGCACATGATGGTGAAACACAACACTCCCAAAGGTTAGAAGGCAGGCAGCATGGTAGTCCATCAAAATGAGAAAGGGAGGGGGGATAGAGGAATTGAAATTTCTGTTTAGAACATTAATTGCTTGCTTTATTGATTATAGGTCATTTTCCTCCTCTCAGTAAGCCTCCCCCTTTTACACTCCCTCCGGATGATTAGACAGTTGGCTTTTACTTGGCCCCAGTGGAGCTGTCAACTCTTTAGTCCTACTGTGAAACAAAAGTGTAGCTTTCAGCAACACTCCTGCCCTCCCCCTTGCCTTTCCATCTCCCCTCCCCTTGCATCTTCCCCACCAAAGTCACAGCAGTGCTGGTGCCCTCTCAGGGCTGGAGCTGCCAGTACAGAGGAGGCGGCAAGCAGAGAGAATCAAGGGCTCCCCTACCACAGCTTGTCCTGCAGTCAGGTGGCTTTCGGCTTTGGTGTGTTGGAGTAACCTACCCAGTCCCCAGGTTAGGTCCTAACTTATCCTTTTATCTTGTCCTTTGACAGCCTGATGAGCAGCCTAAGTATGAGGACAACATCTACATGTATATCTACTTTGTCATCTTCATCATCTTCGGCTCCTTCTTCACCCTGAACCTCTTCATTGGTGTCATCATTGATAACTTCAATCAACAAAAGAAAAAGATAAGTCTCCTCCCCTCCTTGCTAGTGCCCAGAGTTCAACCCAGATAAGGGGCACTCTGTCTCTTTTTTAGAAAGAAAATGCCCTCTTTCTTTCCCTAAAATCCAAATTTTCCCCTTACTGTGCCATGGCCCCACTGTAAATAGTCCCAACCAACTGTGTGCAGGGCTGGATTCCGCAGTGTGTGGTTTACCACAGTTGCTAGTAATGTGTTATTTTTGAGGCCTCGCACTGGCTTGGGTCTCCCACCAGAGGAGCAAGCAGGGGCCGCGAGCACTTCTGGAACAGAAGTAGAATGGAAAGTAGCAGGTGTATAGCTGTAGCAAGACGCAGAAATTGCCCAGATTTGTAATCCTGATCCCTGGGTACCTCTAGAAAATGGGGGTTTGAGAGGCTAGCCCTGGAAAGTCCACTTTCTTTCTTGTCCCAGATGGTCCACAGGTTTTCTAAAGCAAATCCAAAAGATGACTCTTGTCATCTCACTTTGTAAGTCAAGAAACTCTCCACATTGCCTTCTTGCACCAAATTTTCCAAATTTGAATATCATCTAAAAATAAATAGGCCATTAACCAAGACTTGAAAACCTTTTTATCTTAACATGTTTTTTCTCGGATTTTATCAGAAAATCAGACCCAAAAAATGACGGTGAGACTGTCAAATGTGACTGCCAAGTCCTTGCTCTCAAGCCTAGCTTCTCTGAGACAAACCTCAGAAATCCTGAGCTGAAAACAAAGGCAGCTATCTCTTTGAATTCGATTATCTCAGATCTACCTCACTTAAGAGAGCTGTCAGCTAAAATGGGAAGAAAAGAGATAAGTCTCCCTCCATTCTCAGTGGTGATCTTGAACCATAGGTCTACAGCCTTAACATGGGAGAGCCACTTGTAATGGCTGTTCCCTTCTTCCTTCCTTTACTTTGGAGGTCAGGACATCTTCATGACTGAGGAACAGAAGAAGTACTACAATGCCATGAAAAAGCTGGGCTCAAAGAAACCACAGAAACCGATTCCCCGTCCTTTGGTGAGTACTTTGTACAGGTTAAAAGCACACTGAGAAGCCACTTAGAAAAAGACTGGCAGGGTTACCTGAAAGGAAATAGGTAAGCGCCCACTGGTCCTCTCCTTGCTACCCCATCTGAAAGACCTGAGTGGCAGCAGAACAGAAATGAAGGATGGCTTGGCTTTTACAGTCATACATGACCTCTCCTTTGTGGGAAGCAGCCAAGAATCATCATGTTCACCGCATTAGCCCTGGCCCAGGTAGAAAGAGGTTATAAGAGACAACCAAAAATGAACAAAGGAAAGTGAACAGGCACTGATCCCTTTCCTGCCAGTTCAAGGTAAGATTTGGTCATTACTTTCTCAGCTTCTGTCCACAACAAGTACGGCTTTACAGGATGTGACTGGAACAGTGCTAGAGCAGTGCTTCTGGCTGGGAGAGCAGAAGAGGGTGAAAGCGGGAAAGTCTGCTGCTCTGATCTCCTCTCTGTAACTGAGCCTTTCACACACTAGATTTGGGGCTGAAATTCTGTCATTATCTCATTTCAGAGGAGCAATCTCAAAAGTTCTTCTGTAACTTAAAGTAATTTTTAAAAACAAAAACAGCACCCTTAAAATCAAAGCTTACCTGGTGATCTAGTTTGTGGAAGTAAAAGTAAAACTTCTTTATTGAAGCCAGAGTTGGCATCCCAGAGTGTTTTCCCTACATGCCCCACGTCTGTTCCTGCTGAGGAGAAAGAACCCCTGGGCTTTTGCAGAGCAGTTTGAAAACCGCAAAGTCAAAGCAGTCCTGAAAATAAGCACCAGCTCAAGTGCCTAAGTACTTAAAAAAAAAAAAAAAAAATCAGGGAAATCTTAACAAAGAGAATTGTTGTTATATTTCCATGATGTTAAGATTTCCCAGCTGGATGTGGTGGCACACATCTGTAATCCTAGTACTTTGCAGGCTGAGGCAGGATTGCTGTGAGTTCAAGGCCAGCCTGGGATACATAGTAAAATCCTGTCTCAAAAAACAGAGAGAGAGAGATACTTTCCACTTTGTGGTAGAAATGAACCAAAAAAACAGAAAAGAATTAATGTTTCTACAGTTCTGTTCATTCCTTTGCATTTGAAAATTCTTCCATATTAAAATACAAAAACTTGGGGAAATGAGAGGGGCAGGGGAAAGGAATAAATATGAGAAAAGGAAAAACAAACGAAGGGTAATTAGGGAGGGGTGGAGGGGTTGAAGGGAGGGCAGGAGGATAGGGAAAAAAATGAGAGCCAAGATACATCCTGTAAAGGTCCAAGTTCCCAATGACGAGTGTCATCATATGGTATACCTAAAATGTACCAGTAAACTTCATGAATAAAAATAAATAAGTGAATAAATAAATAAATAAATACTGGGGCTGGGAATGTAGGTCAGCGGCACAGTACCTGCCTGGCAAGCGTGAGGCCCTGAGTCCAATTCCCGGTACCCCAAAAAATAATAAAAAATAAAAATAAAAACTTTATGTGGTAGAAAAATAACAAAGACTAATTAACATTCATTCAGCATATACTGATAGATCTCCCTTTATGTACTCCCTGTAGGTATTCAACATAAAGTGATAAAGTTTAGACACTAATATCCTAGGGCTTACAATATAGTGGGGAGGGGAGATAGGTAATAAGTAAGCAAACAGCTACAATAACATGGAAAATCATGGGGAAAAGTAACTGGGGCAAGGACCATGACAGAGAAAAGGGGAGAGTTATAGGAGTAGATCTGCTTCAAAGTGATTATCAGAAAAAGCCTCATCAAGGAGGGTCTCCTGAAGTGAATGAAAAGGCATCAGAGAGCCAGGGAAAGAGATTCCTGGAAAAGCAACCAAGATCCTAGAAGCAGGAAAGTTAGTCTCACCTTGAAGCAAGGAGCAAGAGGAGAGGCCGGCAATGAACAGAATCTGACTGTGAAGGCATCTCTCAGCCAGGGTAACAATAGGGATTTCGTTGCAAGCCCAGGGAAAAGCTGTTGAAAGGTTTTAAGTGGGAGAATGATGTGTGCCATTTATATCTAAATAATCACATGTGACTGTTTGGAAACTACACTAGAGAGGAAGCAGGGAGAACAGAAGACTTAGAGAAATCCAGGTGAATGGGGAGAGTGACTTAGAGTATTAGACCATTCAAAGTGGAGTGAAGCCCTTAAATTCAAGTAATATTCTTGGAGGAAGGTCAACAACAGGACCTTCAGGAGGGGGATGAGGGAGATGAAAGAGACGGACTCTCAGATTTCTGGCTTGAGAGAGTTAATGAATAATTGAGAGGAGCTGAACAAGCTGGGTGAGGGGCAGAGGGAAAGATTTGGCTCTACCTTAGACCTTATGAGTCATTAAGGAGCGATGTTGAATGAGAAGCATAAGTGTGTAGATGCCAGGTAAGCAGTAGGGATGGGTGAGCTCTCCTAGTGTGCTAGCATCAAGAAAGAGATTAAAGAGAGTTGGCTAGCTGGGCTGGGGATTTTGCTCAGTGGTTCCGCCGCCTGCCTCACAAGCACAAGGTCCTGAGTTCAATCCCCGGTACCGAGAAAGAGAGAGTTGGCTAGCAGATGAGACTAAGAATGGGCACCCAGAGAAGTCAGAAGACCTCCAGAAATGTGCGACATTAAAGACTCCAGAGAAGAGCTGCTCATGGTGAGACAGTCCTGCTGGAGCAGGAGAGAGTTGCCCTCATTACAGAGAAAGAGAAGAGCGCTTCTCTAAAAACGGTGGCAGCACCCACTGGTCTGCTCAGAACGGTTTTCACGAATACTATTGAGTCTTTTCTTCCCTCTCTCCCAGAACAAAATCCAAGGTATCATCTTTGATTTTGTCACTCAACAAGCCTTTGACATTGTTATCATGATGCTCATCTGCCTTAACATGGTGACAATGATGGTAGAGACAGATACTCAGAGCAAGCAGATGGAGAACATTCTCTACTGGATTAATCTGGTCTTTGTCATCTTCTTCACCTGTGAGTGTGTGCTCAAAATGTTTGCCTTGAGGCACTACTACTTCACCATTGGCTGGAACATCTTCGACTTCGTGGTGGTCATCCTCTCCATTGTAGGTAAGTGGGCCGGGACAGTGAGGACAGAAAGGGCCAGAGCTGGCTGAAGGATGAGATTGCAGGAAGCAGCAAAGTACTCAGGTCTGAGTTGAAGGCAGGTAGGCTGCCCTCATAGATTCAGCCCATGTAGAACCCACAGTCATCTCATGGATCTGCCTAGTAGTTTACATGGTCAGTGAGTTCCTGCTGAGCACTCAGAGTAGTCTTGCGTTGTAAATGCTGTAGTTCGGTGGGGGAAGGTATAAGATTTGGTCCTTACTTTGTGGGAGTTTAAAGGTAAAAGAAACCTGTCATTCATGTATATATGAAACCCTGGGTTCCTAGCACCACAAAAGAAAAAAATTACATATATATATATATGCTAATATATATTAGATAATAGATAAATGTAATACAAGTGTGGAATAAGAAGAAGAATGGTCAGAGATTGTTAAGGTAGCAATTATCTAGGAAAATTCCAGTGGCAGTTGTTGTGGTCACGTTGCTACAACCAGCAGTGCTCATTCCTGAGATTTTCTTGTGGACCAAGTACAACTGGAGAGTTGGCCCCCTGTGCTATCTCAGTGGATCCCTATGATATTCCAGGAGGCAGGTTATAGATGTCCAGAGTCACTCAACCAAGAGATGGCAGAGCAGAACTCAAGTTGATCTCAAAGTCCATGTTTTTGTTTTGTTTGGGTTTGGGGGTTTTTTTGGTACTGGGGATCGAACTCGGGACCTTGCGCTTGTGAGGCAGGCGGTGGAACCACTGAGCTAAATCCCCAGCCCCCAAAGTCCATGTTCTTTGCCCCAACCTAAAAGCATAGAAGGGGTGATGTCCTGGCAGGCAGGCAGAAGGAAAAGCTGCCCTGCTGATCGCCCTCCCAAAACATTTTCTTGCCTTCCTGAAAACACAATGGTGTGAAACTCTACTTTGGTGCCAGGTAGTTCAACTGACATGTACAGTACCAGTAGAGAGAGTGCTCAGACCCCACGGAAAGCAGCTCCAGAGCTCTGGTTGCCACACTGTATTGATCAAGGGGGTCACTGTGGATACCAGCTGGCCTCTCATTAGCTTGTGCCACACTGTAGTTCTGTCCTCCAGAGCAGTATGACTGCAAGTGTGTTGATGCGTGGAACACCAGTCCCACAATGAAATGACTTCAAGTAACACTGTACATGGGATTTCCCTTTGAGAGTCAGTGTAGGGCCGGGGATTTAGCTCAGTGGTTTCACCACCTGCTGGGCAAGTGCAAGGACCCGAGTTCGATCCCCGGTACCAAAAAATAAAAAAAAGAGTCAGTGTATGTTGGCCTCCTGAAGTCCTTGGAAGTCCTATGGTAATCCCACCCTGATTAGACCACCACACCCTTTGTCTACGTGTAATGGTAGCTCAGATTGTAATGGAATATATTGCCAGTTGGCCATGGTCCTAAGCACTTTATATGTGTTCATCCACATAATCCTCACAGTAAGCCTCTAAGGGTCATGAGGAGCTGTGGCTCAGGGAAGTTCTCGAGACTTGTGGTAAGTAACCATGAGAGCAAGTGGGGTTCAAGTTTGTCCCCTGACCTCAAGCCCATGCTGACTTCTCACAAAGCACGCTGGACAGTGCTGCCCTTGCCCGCCATTCGGGAACGTTTCTGCCCACCCATTGTTGAGTGGAATAGAGAATTCCGACACATCATACTTAAATTGTCCTTTGAAATAAAGAGGGAGAATAGTGCTGCTTTCGATGATTAGGATTTTTATCAAATGTTAATTTGTTCAAAAACAAAAGTACAGAAATTGTCTCAAGTTAGGAGGAGTTAGGGGCCTAGTGCAGTGGTGTACCGATAATCCCAACTACTCTAAAAGCTGAGATGGGAGAGGACCATGAGTTTGAGAGCAGCCTGGGCAAGTTAGTGAGACTCCGTTTCAAAAAAAGAAAAAACTGGGCCAGGGATTTAGCTCAGTGGTTTCACTGCCTGCCTTGCAAGCAGAAGGTCCCGAGTTCGATCCCTGGTACCAAATAAAAAAAAAAAACAGGAGTTAGGGTAAAACATCCTCGAACCCCTTAAATGAATGATGTTCCCCTGCCTAGATTGTTGTCTGCCCCATTTCTTTCCTATTTTCTTTGGTGGCGGTTGTACCTTCATCCTTCAAAACCTTAGGTATCATCATGTCTCTGAAGCTTTACTTCCCCATCATATATGGGATATAAGAATTACCTACAATACATTTTATGTTACCTGACTTCTTATGGTCCTGTTTTTGCGTTAGTTGGGAAGTAAAGGGCCAAGGATTAACTCAGTGGCGCCACACCTGCCTTGCAGGCGCAAGGTCCTGAGTTCGAAGTAAAAAGAAAGTTGATAAATTTTCTTGGGCCCTGGCTGAGGTAGAGATTTTCTGGAAAGCACAAACACCCTGTGGAATCTCAGCTCCTGAAGAGAAGATTATCTGGCCATTCTCTGAACTCCCTGTCTCTGTCCCTTCCTGAAAGTTAAAATTCTTTCCTTGTTTAAAATCTTCAAAAAAGAGATTCTGTAGCATTCTGCAGCTAATTGCCCCAATGTTTATGAATTCTTACGGTTAAGACACACATCCTTCCTTCAATGTCATGTCTTTCTTCTGCGGCCCCTCATCAGGTTCCCCTTGTTGCTCTTTAGTTTTAATGGCAGGTGGTTCAGTTGAGGTGGACCCATGAACAAGTGTAAATAGATTTGCACATTTTCTCCCTCTCCTTTTGTGTCTTACTAATGCTGTGGCCTTTTTACCTGCTAAAACTGCCTTCTAGTTTATGGCTTTCAGCTCAAAATCTAGAAGCTTAAAATGAAAAGCCACTCCAAAATGAACCCTTTAGTTTTCTACACTAGTTTGATAGAGTAGAGAGAGTGAAGTGAGAAAAAGATGTTTTTTTCAGACCCAAGCAAAAGATTCTTTAAAAGTTGGTAGCAGGGCCAGGGATTTAGCTCAGTTAGTTCTGCTGCCTGCCTCGCAAGCACAAGGTCCCGAGTTCGATCCCTGATACCAAAAAAAAAAAAATGAATAACCTAAAATTATTTTAACACAAGGGATCAGTCTCACAAACAAAAACAAGTTAAAGATCTAAATCTAAAAAGATACAGTATAATATAAACATAGTAGGATATTATATATTATTTATGGATTCATACATAGAAAAACTATAAGATGCTATAAAATGATATGTACTTCAGGATTATGGATGCTTTGGGGGATAGCGAGAAAAGCAGGAAATTTGGTGACATGCTAGCCTCTGTTAAATCTGTGAGTTAGTTACTTAGGTATCTGTATCATTTTCTTTACTTTTCTATATGCCTGAAACATAATTATTTTTACTATGAGAGTTCAAGTTGAGTAGTAAGGCACTTACGCTACAAAGCCCATTGAACCCAAGAGTTCTATGGTGCAAGTAAAAGAAGAGAAAGAGGACCGCCAACCTCAGTAACATAACTTCTTTTGTTCCTGTCTTAGGGATGTTTCTGGCTGATATCATTGAGAAATACTTTGTTTCCCCAACCCTATTCCGAGTCATCCGATTGGCCCGTATTGGGCGCATCTTGCGTCTAATCAAAGGTGCCAAAGGGATTCGTACCCTGCTCTTTGCCTTAATGATGTCCTTGCCTGCCCTGTTCAACATTGGCCTTCTGCTCTTCCTGGTCATGTTCATCTTCTCCATCTTTGGGATGTCCAATTTTGCATACGTGAAGCATGAGGCTGGCATTGATGACATGTTCAACTTTGAGACATTTGGCAACAGCATGATCTGCCTGTTTCAGATCACAACCTCGGCTGGTTGGGATGGCCTGCTGCTCCCCATCCTTAACCGCCCCCCTGACTGCAGCCTGGACAAGGAACACCCAGGGAGTGGCTTTAAGGGAGACTGCGGGAACCCCTCTGTGGGCATCTTCTTCTTTGTAAGCTACATCATCATCTCCTTCTTGATTGTGGTGAACATGTACATTGCCATCATCTTGGAGAACTTCAGTGTAGCTACAGAAGAAAGTGCAGACCCTCTGAGTGAGGATGACTTTGAGACCTTCTATGAGATCTGGGAGAAGTTTGACCCCGACGCCACCCAGTTCATTGAGTACTGTAAGCTGGCAGACTTCGCAGATGCCTTGGAGCATCCTCTCCGAGTCCCCAAGCCCAACACCATTGAGCTCATCGCCATGGATCTTCCAATGGTGAGTGGGGATCGCATTCACTGCTTGGACATCCTTTTTGCCTTCACCAAGCGGGTCTTGGGAGACAGCGGAGAGTTGGACATCCTGCGACAGCAGATGGAGGAGCGGTTCGTGGCATCCAATCCTTCCAAAGTGTCTTACGAGCCAATCACAACCACCCTGCGACGCAAGCAGGAGGAGGTGTCTGCAGTGGTCCTGCAGCGAGCCTACCGGGGACATTTGGCAAGGCGAGGCTTCAGCTGCAAAAAGATGACTTCCAATAAGCTAGAGAATGGAGGCACCCACCAGGAGAAAAAGGAGAGCACCCCATCCACAGCCTCCCTCCCATCCTATGACAGTGTAACTAAACCTGACAAGGAGAAACAGCAGCGGGCAGAGGAAGGAAGAAAGGAAAGAGCCAAAAGACAAAAAGAGGTCAGAGAATCCAAATGTTAGAGGAGAGCAACAGTGAAATATTTACTGGTTTAAAACTTGCAAGTGAAAGATTGTTTACAAACTTCCTGAATATTATCAATGCAGAACAGCTGTGCTGTGGAGACGCTGTAACCTGAAGATCTATACCAAACGTAGTCTGCTTATCACGTGACACGGTTGCATCTTGAGCAGTGACCTGCCAAGGGCAAAAGACCCTGCTCCCTGGACTCACAGATTTTCTATTGCTTGGGCAGGTGGTTACTGCATGTTCCACATTCAGTCAATGCAACTTAGAACAAAATTAACAGGATACAAAAACAGAAGAGAGGCTGCCGGGACCAGCATATTTCCGTTGCAGCCAAATGGATTTTATTTTTTCATTTTGTTGATTCTCAGAAGCAGAAAGCATCACTTTAAAAGTTTGTTTGTTCATGCAAACTATATTTGCATTCTTACCTTAGTTAAGCTAAGCGGCAAAAAGAAAAAACACACACACACTCACATTTAGCCCATGTCATTAAATGGTCAGTTACTTTGACATAAATTGCATCTTCTCCACATGGGCTTCACATGGTTTGGAGATGGGTGGGGGAACACAATCAGGTTTTTCAGGCTGAGGAGGACTTGCTCAGGCCAATTCCAAACATTGTGCTCGTTCAGTGCATAGAAATGATTTGCATGATGGCATGCTGTGATCAGAAGTCATGCATGAGATCCATACACTACAGGACACTACTAATCCTGTCCCCTGCATTGGGTCAGCCTTTGGAAAGGACCCAGTCCTGCACCGTTCACTGTATTTGGAGAAAATGGTAAGAGTTCCATACTGGCTGCAATTCTTTATAAGTCTTCAAAGTCTTTCATACACCTTCTGGGTAGGGAAACATAACTAATCAATTGACCACCACTAACAAAAAACAAACCCAATCCAACAAGCAGATGGATCCGTTGTGTGTATATGTTTAACAGACATCTCTAACATAGAGCCATTGTTGCACATTTTGCAAGATGAACTATTTAATGCTGCTCTGTGTCTAGTACACGGGGAGACTTTGATCCTGAATGGCTTGTACTATTTCTGTCACTGTAAAACCAAAAACTAGGGCTAAAAAAGAAAGTTCATTTGTATCTTGCAATATTTATGATGATTATTTAGCCTTCATACAGGAGAACTGACACTTATTTGGGGTAGAGATAAAAGTGCTATTTAGGGTAGCATGTTTATCTCTAGGGGGTACTTTGGGGAACCTAAAATGACCTTTCACTGGGGTATATGGGGTGCTCACTTCATTTAGTGTCATGTCCTTCCACATCATGGCTTTCTCCAGGCTTGGGTCTCTATGGAGAGGGGTTCGGCTATTCTGACCTGCCCTCTCCTTTCTGCAGAGAGGTTGCCACAGGGTCATACCTGCATGGCTCCTCCTGCCTCCACCATGTTTCTCCACCCAGCAGGGCTTCCCTTCCCACCCTGCAGGGCTGGGGAGGGCAGCAGCACTGGATATGGCTATAGTTCCCTTCATTTATGATTAGAATAATGGTCACTGGTGGGACCTGAGGTAGAGATGGAGCCGCCTCTGAACCAAGCCCACTTGATTTCTTTACTGCACTGGTTTTTATTAGAAAGTGACTTAATATTAATTCTTTAGGATATTCCAGCTTCTCTCAGTACATTCCCTTCCAGCCAGGTTTGCTATCTGCTTGATGACCTGCCCATTGTCATTGGAGGGTGGCTTCTGGGGGAGCGTCTTCTCTTTCATTCCATCTCCCGCTTTATGGAAGACAGTTCTTAGTGCAGGGGTATATCATGCGATGACAGGGTTTCAAAGCCAAGATGCTGCAGTTAGATGTTTCAGGAAGTCTATTTGAAGAGCGGAGAAAGACTGGTGAACCAAATCAAAATAAATTCTTCCTGAACCATATAATAGAGGGGGAGAAGAAACCAACCCGTTACCAGACACACCAATCTGCCTTGCAGTAGAAGCACTTTGGATGTAATTTTACAGTCCACTTGACTAGTTTTGCATAGAACAAACCACAGCAGCTCAGTAAGCAGAGCTTGCTATCTTGCTGGACCATTAGAAACTCCGTCCAGTGCTCTCAAGCCTTCTTCTGCGGCACCATCCGTAGGGTTTTGTACTACGCCTGATGCCAGATTGGGAAGGCATTTCTTTCAGTGCCCCTGCTAACTGCTAGGATGAATGTATAGTACCATGTACAGGTGACATTGTAAACAGCACAAAACAGAAGCTGACATGTGGTTATTCTTTTTAAGAGAATTATAAATACTGTAATATATAATTTTACTTTATTGGCATGCCTTTTGTAAATACAAATGATTAACTTACTAAATAGGAAATGGCTTCTGGCTTATGCCATTGTCATGTTTATTTTTATTTTTTATACTTTTCTTTCTTCTTAGAACTTAGATGCTGTCAGCCAATGTACATCCCCAAACCAGACAGACAAAAAATTTTTTATTGCTAATGGTCTTTTCCAAAACAACAAAAAATATATATATTTTTGTTCCAATGTGCAATAAATTCTAACCACTTCTATGCAAGATTTGGCTAAACTTAATAATTGTTCTTAGGTCTTGAGATGGGCAACAGAGCTATCCGATCCCACTAGGTACAACAAGCGCCCATGCTAGTGATGTCATTAAGCTACTAGTCTATTAATGTCTAGATTTCTCTGAGATCTGACCGTTTTCCTCCCCCAGCTCCTGATCCCAGCCCAGCAGGCTGTCTCCTCGGTAACATATGGGCCGTGGTACATGGCACCCATCAGCCAGCTTCCTAGGACAGAAGCCACCTCCACTCTATCTGAAGTTTGGGTTTTTTTTAACTTTCCCTGTCTCCTCTCCCTCACCCACTGTCCCTCCCCCCGTCACACCCTCACTCACCCATCCTGCCCCACACTTCTTTGGTAGTAAATGACACCACCACCAGCAGTTTACACCTGCAGTTAACAGGCACTGAGCTGAAAGGGTCAGCGATGGCGTCTTTGCACGTCCTCACTGAGTGGGTAAGTGGCAACGCTTTGCCAAATATTAATGAAGCCAATCAAAGCAGCAGCAGCCACAGTATCACTGCACATATATATATATATAGATATATAAATATAATATAAATATTTATTTTTTGTAGCCGGGTCCTTGGTGCAGTATTTATACTCCACAATCCACCTTTTAAAAAAGGACAAAAAGCAAAAAGTCATGTGTGATGCTGTTAACTTAAAATGCAGAGCCAAAGCCACTGAGCAGCAGCTGACATGGTTGCTGGTTTGTGTGTGAAAAACACTTTTCCCCCTCTTCTTTCCTTAACCTTCTTGTTGCTTAGGGTGAGGAGAGTCCGTAATTGAAAGCAGAGGGAGGGTGAGAGCAGGAAAAACTTCCCAAGTCAACGTTACCTCCTCTTACACCTAAGCAAGCTGCTTTGGGCATCAGACAGTGACTGGGCAGAAAAACAGAAACTCCCAGCCAAAACCCCCGGAGCAACAGTGCCCAGATGAGTTCTTTTCTTTTTCACCACAACCAATGTAAACTGTAAAAGACCAATAGTGTATATTAGGGAATGCATGGAGGCCAATGCCGCCCTACATGAGACGTGATTTAAAACAAAAAGTACGTCACTACTATAAGCCAAAAGGAAACAAAATAAAAATGACCCTTTTTATCGTACAAGGGAAGGCTGTCTTGGTGTGTGTTTGTTGCTTGACTGTCCCAATTCTTGAGTTCTGGGAGGGGTCTGGGAACTGAGACTTCAGTGCATTTGGGGAAAAGAAGAGAAATGAGAAACCAGAAGGCCTCTTGCAGTGCTGGCTAAGTTGAGACAGGAGAGAAAAGCCAGGTCCTAACCCCACCCAACCGTTGCATGTGGCATTCCACACTCCTGGGCTGGTGCTTAGAGGCCCATAAAAACCCCTCCTCACCTAATCCACCTGGCAGAGCCCCCAGAGATGACTTCAGCCAACCCAGCTGGACTGGCCTTACTTCTGCCGCCCTCATCAGTACGTTAGAAAAATGGCCCCCATGCCCCAAAGCTAGGTCATGCATGATACCCAACAGCCTCTGCTCTGCTGGCTAGCGCTGGGCCCCGCCTCCACCACTCCCTTGGGCAGCAGATGAGGGTTGCCCCTCACATTTGCACAAGGAAGGGCACCCCCTTTGGGGACATTCCCCTCTAGGCCATGTCTCCTGGTCCAGGGACACTCTCAGGAGGATCGGAAGCACCCGGAGATCCACTCTGGAGAGAGGGCTGGTAGGCCAGTCCCCATCTTTGGCGCTCAGCCCAGCCTTCAGGTCTGTGGTGGAGGTGCGATTGCCATGCGCTGTGATGCTGTGACTTTAGTCCTGGGCACCTTCTGCAATGACGCCTCTTTCTTTTCTCAGATGTTGCCCAAAGTTTTGCAAAAAGCTTCATTCGTTTTCAGGTATCCCCCACCCCTTAAAAAATCAGCTGCAACTTATCAGCCAGGGGGACATCAGGAGAGAAGAGGAAGTTTGGGTTGGGAGGGGCCCAAGGTTTGCACCAGAGCGCTCTGTGGCTCAGCTCTGTGCTCTCTTGGGAGTCCCTTTTCAAGATTACCAAGACTTCCTTCATTAAAGTGCTCCTGAGGCACCCCCTGCTCCTGCCCCCCACTGCTATTTGCTGTACATAGAGGCTGTGGGGTGGGGTGGGTGGGTGTGCACATGTGTGTGTGTGTGTGTGTGTGTGTGTGTGTGTGTGTGTGTGTGTGAAGAATGTACATAGGTAAAGGGGAGCGTGGTCCAGTGGTTCCAGAAAAGGGGCAGAACTCCTGTGTTCTATCCCTAGCTTGACCACTGGCTCGCTGTGTGGCCTTGGGCAAGTCACTTAACCTCTCTGTGCCTCAGTTTCCTCATCTGTAAAATGAGGATAATAATACTGACCTACCTCACAGGGGTGTTGTGAGGCTTTAAGTAAATGTTTTGTAAAGTGTTTTGAGATACAGAGGCAAAGGCGCTAGGGAAGGGCAAAGTATTATTTGGATTTAAGGAAGATGAAATGGTACCATAAATGCTGCTATTCTGAGAGCCATTTTTAACTGCACTGCTCCAACCACCCCCGCTTCTCATCATCAGGACAGCAGGTTGAGAAAATGTCTTTCCTTTCACTTGCTTCTGGGGTTTGTGATTATTCTAGACACTTAATTTTTCCCCCTTGCTGTATTTCCTCCCCTCACCCCCCTCGACTTGTTCCCTGTTCTGTTTATGCAGAAATGGCAGACATGTTTGAGAAATGAGAATGTATCCGTGGATTGGAAGTTTATAGTCTGAAATTTCAATTTTAATTTGTACTGTACATCTTTTTACTTTAGAATTTGCAATAAAGGGTTACGTCTATCTTGTTTTCAACTCTCCTCTTGGATTGGCCTGTCATTCCGTCTCGGCTCTCACTCCAAGGCCCCCGGGCCCAGGGCAGGGCAGAGCAGGGCAGTCCGCAGGCAGGCTCACCTAGTATCCTGGGCGGGGCTGGCTGGGCCCAGACACTTAGGTGGGTGGAAAAGATCCTGCTCTAGGTGACACATCGGGAACCCTTGCCTGAATGGGACGCCCACCATGAAAGCAGGCGCCCCAGCAAGTGGGCCCCTCTCCCTACATACTCCAGAAGGGCCTCGGAGCAAACCCGGGAAGCTGCACATCTCGTTCTGATCTCTACCCCCACCCCGCCCCACCCCTGTCATACGTCTTAAGCTTCCTGCCTATGCATGCACCATCCCTCTGCGGCTCAAAACTTTCAGGTCAAACGGCTCTGGGTTCAAAAACCTGCCTATGTCACCAAGGAGCTGTGAGCAGTTCCCTGACGTGTAATGGAAATAATACCTTCATTCTTGGGTTTTGAAGAGTGTTATGTGAAATAATGTAACTGCTTAGCGCAGCCAGACACACCTTTCATGCGCGGTACGCGGTGGCTCCTAACGGCACAGTAAGGAACTAAAGCTGACAAGTAGCCCCACCCTGGGAGACCGCACCAGCGCCCCTCTCCTTACAGCACAGCCCGCGGGCTAGGCCGGGCACCTCCACAAAGTGACAGCCAACAGCTCCCTCCGCTGGGTGTCTGTTAACTTTTATAATCCCTCCAAGACAGCGCTCCAGCAGTACAGCGTTCCCACTTGACCACGGAGGGCAGCGCGCGTCAGAAGCGGCCCTGCTTCTCAGCCCTCGGTCTGTCGGCCCGAGCCAGGAAACGGGGTGTTGACGCGCAGGTCGGGCCAGGGTCGCCATCACCGCCCATGATCCACACAGTGAGCAGGACAAGCAGCGCCCCGGTGACCAGCGCCCCCGCGAAGCCGGTGAGCAGACCGAGCGCCAGCGGCCCAGCCCACCCCGCTGGGCTTCGCCCGTACGGGGGCTGTGGCAGGCGCTCCACCACCAGCTGCAGTGAGTCCCAGTTGGACGCGCGCTCGGAGGCGCGGCGAGGGCGCGGGGCGGGGCGCGGGGCGGGGGCGGGGGCGGGGGCGGGGCCCGGCCTCGGCACGTAGCGCTGACCGAACTTGCGCAGCTGCAGCGTCGCCTGCTGGTGGAGGTTCTTGCCCAGCTCCCGGGCTACGTCGGGGCGGCCGCTGCGCCGCAGGGCCCGGGCCACACGGTCCCAAGACAGGGTCGTGGCCTCGGCAGTCAGCCAAGACGCCAGCGTCTCCCGGCAGCCGTTGGAAACCTCCCCTGGCTTGACCGAGTAGTCCCCTGTCGGATTCTCCGCAGGATCCTCCGCCAGGTGCTCGGCTGCCTCCCGCCGCCGTCGCCGCACCTCGCCCGGCGACACCGACGTGGGCGCCAGCGGCTCGGGCCGCGCCAGCCGGTCCTCAGAGAGCCGAGCCAGTTCGGCCTCCACGTCGGGCTCCGGCGCCTCCAGCAGCGACCGGAAATGGCTGCACTCCTCCGGGGTCAGCAGCTCGGCCAGGCGGAGCGCCGCGTGAGGACCCATGGTGTCCAAGGCCCCCGCCGGCCCCAGCGCCCAGCCGCACAGCACCAGGAGAGCCCGCACCGCCATCGTCCCAACTGCGGCGATTGTGGGGGGGGGGGCTGGGAACATTCGGTAACTCTAGTGCGGGAGGAGACTCCCGCCCCCGCGTGGACTGGGGGGGATGGGGAGGGGTCTCCCGCCCCTGGGACTGGTTGGAGAAGGGGCTCGAAAGAGGCAGTAAGCGGAGTGAAAGGATTTGGGACACAGCGGTGGAGTGGGACTCTTGGCCCCAGTAAGCTAGAATTCTGGGCCCTTATTTTGAAGGGCCTCATGGAGGCAGCCTATCTGCCCTCCTAATTCCTCAAATTTAGAAAACTTGTATGAGAAATTCAGTTGCCACCCCTCCACCAGAAGGCCTAGATCTCCCTGCTCCCCACTACCCCCAGCACCCACTCGTTTTAAATTCTCTTGTCTGAAGGCAAGTTGCCCTTTCCCATGCTCAGGTCTGCGCTGGACCAAGCCCTCTCGCTGTCTCTTCGCTTCTCGATTAGGTGAGTACCTCCTCGGGTCTCCCATCTCCACACACACGGGCACCACCTACCTGAACTTGTTTCATCTCCCCCAAGGAGGCTTGGCCCTGGCTCTTCTGGACCTGCACTCCTGCTGCCCGCTGACTTGTGGGAAGCCCTCCCTGACTTGCTTCGTTCTCTTCAGTGCGTTGAAAGTGCCTTCTCCTCTGCACCGCTGCCCGCGGCACTGCAGCTCTACCTTTTCACTGTCTCCTTCACTAGACTGAGGTACACTGTCCCCACGGACTAGTGCCTAACAGGTGTGAAGTAAAGGCTTGTGGAACCACCGATGTGTGCATTCTCAACATGCAGAGCCTCCCGGTTCAAGGCCACCGCCCCCATCACCACCCACCCACCCACCCACCCAGAGGCTTCATTGTGGCGCCCAAGCTCTAACCAGGAAATTCGTGAGGTCCTGGATGACTCCTCCAACCTTACCACACACACCCACTGTCCTGCCTTTTTTTTTTTGGTACCGGGTATCGAACTTGGGTCCGTAAGCTTGCAGGGCAGGGGGCGAACCACTGAGCTAAATCCCTGGCCCTCTCCTGCCCACTTTATGCTCTTGTAACAAATACTGCTGGTGCCGCATTCTCCGTACCCGGCCAAGCTATCCCTCCTACTTAAATCCCTGACACACCCCCACCTCCTCTCAGAACCCTTTCTGGGCATGCTTGAGATAACCTCTTCGTCCTCCACCAGGGCACTGATCTGGAAATTAGAGGGTTTAATGTCTTTTCACTGTCTTCTCTGTGTAAGATATGTAAATATAAAGATGGATGGTTTTCTCCAGCCCCAGCACCCTTAATCAGTTGTTTTTGGGTCTTTGGGGGGGCGGGGGGTTCTGTGGTTTTGGGGTTTTTTTCTTTTTGGTACTGGGGATCGAACTTGGGACCTTGAGCTTGCAAGGCAGGAGCAGGAACCACTGAGCTAAATCCCCAGTCATGTGTTTTTAAATAATATGTTTTAAGCTTTCCCCATCTGGACTGTGGATTCTCAAGAACAGTGGCTGAGCTTGACCATTTCCGTGTGCTCAGTGTCACCCACAAGGTCCACACACAGTAGGTGTAAGGTAAATTGGGGAAGAGGTGTGGATTTCCACAGGCCAGAAGGGTTAGGGTCCCTAAGTGGTGAGTCCTAAGCAGGAAGCCTGGGTACACTGCTTCCATTGAGCTTTTGTGCATTTTTGCAATTTTGCTTACAGCATTCAAGGTCCTCAGGAAATTGTGGGTCCAAACCACTCGAAAGCTTCTCCCCAGAGGTTTCCCAGCAAGTTTCTAGTTTTTGGCTTTTTGTCTTTAATCTCCCAGTTTATGATGAATTATCAAAGGTAATAAGGGTACTAACAGATGGTAGGAAGGTGGACAGTCTCATGTGACCTGAAATACTGGAACTGAGTTGTCTCCACACCCTGCCTTCTACCCACTTTCCCTCCACAGAAGACCACGACGCTCATCCCTTGCTTTACCCTACCAGGACTGCTGTCCAGGTTCTGTATGACCCACCTCCTCTTCGGCACCCCCTTCCCTCCATGAGTTCATTTGTTCCTTTATAGCATGTGAGCCCTTCTATGCCCCTCTATTGTGGGATTTGCTGCTACAGTGAGGCAGCCCCATCCCTGAGCCTCTGAGAAGCCAGAAGATCTCCCAACACAGGGGCTTCCAATCCTGTAGCCTCAGTACTCAGGGTCTGGTAGTACTGTGCAGAGAAATGAGAGTCCAGGGATAATATTTTGCTGAAGGAACAGAAATATCTACTGTGCCATAGCCAGGTCACTGGCAGAGGCTTGAGTGCCTAAGCATTCTAGAGGATTCCCCAAATCCCACTGCCCCAAGAAATCCTCTGGAAACCACGTTATCGCTTTAATACTGTGTAATACTTTCTTTTAAAATACAGTTTCTTCTGAGGTAGACAGACCGTAACTGCAGAGCATCGTCAGACAGGAGATAAATACGTCCATGTACAACACACAGCAAAATGAGGTAGAAATGGTTGCAGCTGGAGGAGGGTCCCAACCCCAATCTGGGTAGAGGAAGCAGAGGGCCACCTTGCCCTCCCCAACACCAAGCCCCTGGATTCTTTGGTATGCTCCCCACAACATCGCCAGGGCTCGACCTGCCCTACCCTTCCCACCCTGTGCCCCTGAGGTAGGTGACAGTAGACTGAGGGCTGTCGTCTTGTGCAAACCTTCCCAAACCTGGGGAACAGGAAGCTCCCGGCAGAGGAAGCAGTGAGGACCCTGGCCTTGGTCAGAGTTTCTGCCCACACCCAGGGCTGCTTGCCTTCGAAGGGCAAGCTGGGATCCCAACCCCATGTCCCTGCCACCCTCCACCTCACTCCCACACACTCACCTGAGAGAGAAACCCCTCACTCCCTACTCCCTGCTCCCTCTGGGGGGGTTGCAGCAAATCCTGTGGCCAGTGCTTCTGAGGCACCAGGCCCTGCAGTTGATCAGGGGTTCCAAGGAGGGTCAGAAGCAGGCCAAGGGCCAGGAGGGGGAGACAGCAGCTTTCTTGGTTAGCAGTCTGAGGCCAGCACCAGCCCTCAGCATCCTGGCCCCTGAAATGCCCCATGGAAACCCCTCCACACACCCCCATTAGAGCAAAGTGGCAAGACTGCCGGAGCTATGGGACAGGCAGGGACCCACGAGAGATTGGGAGGGGAGAGAAAAGGAGATGGGGGTCTCCCGCTTTGGGGCCTAAATAAAGGGTTGTGAGGTGGGGGAGGGGCAGTTTTAAGCCCCATCAAGGAAAACTGGTGGGAAGGAGAGGAATATACGTCCCAGAGACAAGGGCTTCAACCTGGCTAGAAGCCCCATACACACACACACACACACACACACACACACACACACACACACACACACACACACACACACACACACACCCCACTCCCATGTGAGGGAAAAACACCCTGCCCACCTCCTTGGAACTGCCGACACAGGGCAGGAAGGGAGCAGGGAGGCACTCCCCTGCCCAGCCATCACCGGTGAGGGACACTCACCCCTCCGCAGCATCACCATCATAGAGGGCAGCTGAAGGGCAGCAGGCAATTCCGTGTCGACCCAGACTTGTGGCCAGACCACCTCCCCCCTAAGGCAATGATACTCTGAGCTTAACTGAGGACCTCTACGCTGGCAGGGGCCAGGTGGGATGACCTTGGGGACTTCCTGCCTGTGTCACCTTCCTTTTGGGCACTCTGCCCAGAACAGGAAATGAGCAAGGAAACCCCAACTCTGGATAACCTCTCTCAGAAAAGCAGAAACTGAGGGGTGGGGTGCAGAGGCGAGAGCAGCAGGAAGGAAGCAAGATCTACCCCCTTCAAATCTCATACCCCTCCTGGGCACCTCTGCCTCCAAGCTGGGACGTGGGGAGGAGGAAGCTCTTAGAAATACATTCTGTTTCTGTCCCAGGAACACCCCAGGTCTAAGTGAAGACTGGGCCTTCCTCTGCCCTCCCCACAAGTCTCTTTCTGAGTCTTCTGGGAGAATTTGCTCCCCTGGGGTGGGGTGGGGGGACACACAGGAGAGCAGCCAAAGTCTAACATTCTTTCTGAGGTCAGTTTCTTCCTGAGTTGTCAAAAAAAAGCCAGCAAATTCTACACATCTTACAAAAATAAAGGCCTAAAATATGAAGCTACGTTCCTGGGACTTCCCCCTCACACTCCCAAAACACCACTTCTTTGGGGAGTTTTTTGGTTTGCTTGTTTTGGCTTGACACCCCCCCCCCAAATTTTCAGCTGGATAAGAGATAAGGGAGTGGGAAGGGGGTTCCCTACTCCCTTCCTCCTCAGCCCTGGGCCTCCAGCTCTCCTGCAAAAGGACACTGCAGTGAGAATAAGGGACAGAAGGCAGGGAGGGACGTTAAAGCACAGGGACCAAGAAGCACCGGGACGCCCAAGTACACGGGACAAACAGCAGCACAGAGAGTGATAGATGGAGAGGTGAGGACAGGACGGAGAAGAGGAACTGCGACGGGGGGGGGGGGGTGTCAGTGACAAAGCGACGGGAAGAAACACCAAGCAAATGCAGAGAAGTGGGAGAGGGGGAGGTGTAGGGTGCCATTCAGAGAGTGAGGAGACAAAAGGAGAGCAGGAGTTCTTTAGGCCCGGGTATTAGCCCATGCAGGGTCTGCCCCTTCCGCCGGGCGGAGATGGCGAGCTTCCCGTCTACAATAAATAGGAAAAACCTGAGTACACGGCGCACATGGCATCCATCTGCCTGGCAGAAGCATTTTCCTTCCCATGAAAAACAAATCCACCAGCAGAGCAGTCCGGTCTCCCACCCGACATGCGCCACTCGGGCACACTCCCGGCCCGGTTTGGTCAAAGTCATTTGCCCCAATCAGAGGCGGCTCCCGCGGCCCCCCTGACGCCATCAGTGTCCGGAGCCGTACATCTTGTCCCACTCCACTAACGAGTCCAGCTCCTTGGGGGAGCCCCTAGGGCCCACCTTGGCTAGCGCCACCTCCAAGTCCTTGTACGAGAGGGGGCGCTGCAGCCCCGGGAGGACCGCCCCGGCCGCCGCCTGCTGGCACAGCTGCCCCAGCTCGCCCCCGGAGAAGCCCTGGGTGCCCTGCACGAGGGCCGAAAGCTCCCGCTCGCTCAGCGCACAGCCCTGCTGGGCCAGCGCCCGCTGCAGGATCTGCCCGCGGGCCGGACTGTCCGGCAGCGCCACGTAGAAGCGGAGGGCAAAGCGCCTGCGGGTCGCCTCGTCCAGAGCCGCGGGCCGTGAGGTGGTTCCCACCACCAGCACGCCGTCGGCCCGCGCGCCGCAGCCGCTGTCCAGACAGGCCAGGAGCTGGGCCTGCAGTGCACCTGGGGCGCCGGCGCCGTCGTCCCGGGCGGGGAGCAGCGCGTCCAGCTCGCTGAGGAGGACTACGGCAGGCGAGCGACAGCGCGCCGCCGTAAAGGCGGCCTGGAGGAGGCGCGCCCCTTCGGCGGCGCCCTGCGCGGCCACGCTCGCACCGCGCAGGCGCAGCAGCGTGGCGCCCAGCTGTGTGGCCAGGCAGCGGCCTAGCAGCGCTTTGCCTGAGCCCCGCGGCCCAAAGAGGAGCACGGTCCGCGGCGGGCGTAGGCTGCCGGGGTAAGCGGGCGGCCTGAGCAGGGGCCACACCAGCTCCTCCTCTAGCGCCGCCTTGAGCGCCCCCTGACCTGCCACGTCTGCCCACTGCACCGGCGGCCCGCAGTCCACCAGCTTGCTGGTCACCAGCTCCAGCGCCCCAGCGTCCACACCTTTGGAAGGCTCCCCCGACGGCACAGCGAAGCTCCCACGGGGAGCCGGCGCCGGGGCCCGCTCCGGGAACTTTTCGTAGGGCTCGAGCTGTGGGCCGTAGACGGGGGAGCCCAGGACCTTGAGGGGAACGCCGCCGCCGTACTTGCTCGACGCCTCCTCCGCGGCTCCCGGCGGCTTGGCTCGGAACCCGTTGCCGCGACACTCGCCGTTGTCTGCGGCGGGGTAGGGAGCGCCGTCGGCCGCGGGGGCCTTGGCGGGCTCGTAAACGTACTTGCGGTAGCGGCCCTCTGCCCCCTCGTCTGCCGCCTTGCGCTTCAGCGACACGCCGGCCTCTGCTCCCGCAGCGGCCGCTTGGAAGCTGTAGGAGGTGGGCGCGGGCAGGGGTGTGGGCGCAGGCAGGCCCGAGGCCAGGTAGGAAGTCGGGGGCGCGGCCGGGTGCGGGAGCGCTCCGTAGCCAGGCTGTGCAGCATAGCCGCCTGCCGCGTAGTTGTACAGAGGCGCCGAAGGGCCGTAGCCAGGCGGGGGCGCAGGCTGCAGAAGCGCGGCCGGGGGCGGCGGAGGCAGCCCGGCGCCTGTCTGCGCGCAGTACCCGGGCGCCAGGTAGCCCCCGCCATAGCCCGCCGCGTACTCTGGAGCCGCCGGGCCTCCACACGCGTTGCCGGCGTACAGGGGCTCAGGCAGGTTCCCGGCTAAAACCGGGGAGCTCCCGAGGCCCGTGGATCCGCCCCCGCCGCCCGACTTGGTTCCCGGGAGTCCCTCGTGGAGTGAGGCCAAGGGGTAGGGTGGCTCTGGCCCTGGCCAGGGATCCGTGTCCCCCTTGGCGCCATTGAGGAAGGTGGCATCCCCGTAGCTGCCAAGGGCCGGGCGCTCATAGGGTGAGTCCAGGACCCCAGAATACTTCTCTGCGTAGCGCTTGAGGAGGTTGGAGGCAGTGAGGGCAGAGATGTCATCATGTGCCCAAGCATAATGGCAGCGCTGGCGACCCCCTGGGGGCAGTTCCAACTTGTGGGCTGGTGATGGGGTGGTGGAGGAGACATCCAGGTGCTGCTCTGGCCACTGGTTGAGGGGCTGGACATGTTCCGGTGTCCAGTGCATTTTCGACAGAGCTGCAGACAGGAGAGAGAGGAGCACCTGGTGAGGTCCTGGAAGGCCTCAGAGGTCCCACCGACTGACTTCTTAAAACTGCTGCTTGAGACTCCCAGTACCTTCCATCTACCCTCCCATTCTCCTGGGCATCCTCCCACCAGCCACCAAATACCCCTTCTGACCAAGACCGAAGTTATCTGATAACAGTTTCCTCAGAACCCTGAGGGAACCAGAAACAATGTGGTTGGCCCTAACTTCGCCTTGCAAGCAGTGGTTATTATTTTGTCCTGGCCATAACAGCCATGCTCTGTAGGACACATGGTCCTTACTTTCACACCTAATGGGTCAGGTCGTGGGAAGAGTCAAACCCAGGCAAGCCTCATTCGGCAACAACTGTTTGCTGCTCACCCTCCATGGGCTGCTGCAGAGATTGAATGAGGCCTGACCAGGGTTCCTAGTCTAGTGGCCCTGCAGTTCAAAATTACTAAATGCTCTGTTCACCTCAGCCTTCCCTAAGATTCCAAGGTCCCCTTTGGGCCTAAGGTCAGAGGTGCCCTCATGTGTAACAGACCCTCATTGTCCCTGGGAAACCACAGTGGCTAACCCAATGGCATTTACTTCCTTGCCACCCAGTTTCTTATGGCCACTACCTGATGAAATCAGAGCACTGGGTTCCAGACCTAATTGTGGGTAACACCTGTAGGCCCTGGGCAGGTGCTGCCATGTGCCTCATTCCCAAAATGTGTCACTACAACACAAAAGTATATTTAAACTGGAAACTAGATAGATCGTGTGCCGGAGAAGAGGGGAAGTGAGTTCACAGCAGTGTACATCCTAGAAAGTGAATCACGAATTTGTCTCTGCACTTCTCAGTCACCAAGGAAATAAGATTTGATCAGACTCACCTTGCAAAATAAAAAGCACTTTTTTCAAAAGAAGTGAAAATGTTTCTGACACAGAGACCCTAGAACTTTTACTCATGAGCCTTGGGAAATACATCTGTGAGATGTAATGAACAATGGCCTTTGGGACATAGGTGCCATAATCACTGGAGATGAGTTCTGAGGCTGTTTCCTGTGCTGCCCTCCAGCACCAGGCAAGGCAGGAGCCAAACACTATAAAAAATAGCACTGTCCAGGCACATAGCTCCAGTGGGCCAGGCTGATTCTAGGATAAGATCTCGAGGACTGAATGGGCCCACATCTCTCAGACCTAAGCATTTGGTGAGTTAACCAACAGGTTCACATACTCCCATTCTTTCTTCAGCAGGGCTGAAAGTTCTACCCATGACCTCAGACATGCTAAGCAGGCAGTGAGCTACACACCTATCCCTCTTCAGCAGATTTTAATTGTGTAAATCTTAAGTGTTTCGCTAGGCATAGGGTTAGACTGAAAGGTGAAGGGAGTGGTTCAGCCATGTGGAGGAGACAGGCATTGTCCTCTGTAAAGTGAGAAAATAGAAGTAGGTATGTGCTAGAGGCCTTGGAGCTCAAGGCAGTTTGCCACACCTTAATGAAGAAGTGGAGTCTTTACTGGCTCTTCGAAGGGATGAGGGACTAAGTTGAGCAGGTAGGCTGGGGGGAGCAATGCATCCCAGATCACACTTTGAAAGGTGTAGGCACAACACATTCAGAAAGCCAGGGCTAGTCAGAGGCAATGGTGAAAACCTATAGTCCTAGCACCCACAAGGCTGAGGCAGGAGGATCCCTAGAATCCAGGAATTTGAGACCAGCCTGGGCAACATAGACCCTGTTTTAAGAAAACGCCAGAGGGCCAGGGATGTAGCTCAGTGGCACTAAGCCTGCCTGGCAAACGCAAGGTCCTTAGTTCAATCCCCGATACCACCAAAAAATTATTACAAGTCCAGGGCTGTGCTAGCTTCCTTGGGACACTTTACTGCCACTCTAGAATACTGTCATAATCTACAAATACAACTGGATCATGCCCCTTTAGAAGTATGGCTCTTGGGCAGCACACAATCTACAGAACCACATACAGTGAGCCTGTGGAGCGCACCAAGAGGGCCGGGGATTTAACTCCGTGGTTCTGGCGCCTGCCTCGAAAGCGCAAGGTCCTGAGTTCAATCCCCGGTACCAAAAAAAAAAACAAAAGCACCAAGAAATGTCAGGTCTCCAGAACCTTGAATACAGGTATATGTGGGAAGCATGGTAAAGGAAAGTCTAAACATAATCAAGTCTCTTCTCTGGTTCTGTACATTTGGCCTTACAGCAGCTGCTTGACAGCATCTCTGTCATCTCACTACTTCCTATGGCTGTGATCTGACATCAGTGCCACAAGACAGCCTTTAAAAATAAAATGATTTACTATCGTCCCCACTGCCCTAGAGGAGACATGAGCTGCTTTAAGTGGGATGAATTCTAGAGGCTGCTTTATTCCTGTGTGAGGGGTGGCAAGTGCCATGGAAGGCAGGAGAGAACAGACATAGCTGGTGGCCCAGAGGTGATGTGCAGCTTTCCAGCTCTTGCTGAGAGGGGTCTTCAGAGATCAGAGGTGTCAGTAGTGTCACAGGGGTAATTTCCCGGGACATCAGAAATCACAAGTGGTGGGCTGGGGATTTAGCTCAGTGGTTCTGCCGCCTGCCTCACAAGCACAAGGTCCCAAGTTTGATCCCCAGTACCAAAAAAAAAAAAAAAGAAAAAGAAATCACAAGTGGTTCTGGTTGCAGGATCGTATGAGGTAACATCAGAGTTGCACAAATGTAAGTATTGTGTTACTGCATCAAACCCAAACCAGTTTTTTCTTTTGTTTTTGTGTATGGTTTTACTTTGTCTTGCTCCTTAATTAGAAATATGGAGAAAAGAGATTAACCCTTGACAAATTTATGTTGAACACAGTCAATCAGGCAAGCCAGGGAAGAGTGACCCTGTTATGATTTGAAGCTAAAATGTCCCCCAAAATTCTCATCTGTCTCGAAGGTGGCTGGATCATGGGAGCTTTATACTCATCGGTGTACTCATCCATTGATGAGTTTATAGCTGAATGTACTGTTAGGAGGTGGAGCCTAGTTGGAGGTGGTTCACTGGGGATGTGACTTGGAAGGGTGTATTCTTGTCCCTGGCTCCTCCCTTTGTCTCTCAGCTTCCTGGTTACCATGGGTTGAGCACCTTTTCCTGTGTCATGCCTTTCTACCATGCTGTTTCTGCTTTGGAGCCAGTAGACCATGGACTGAAACTGTGAGCCAAAATAAACCTCTCTTCCTTAAGCTGCAGGTATTTTGGTATTTTGTCCCTGCAACTAGAAAGTAACTAAGACAGACCTCCTCCCAGAAGACAGAGCACAGTGAAGACAATGCTGGATCTGGACTTGGCCGTACATTTCCTCCTGCTTCCAGACCCTCTGATCGATCCTCCTCGCTGCTGTCACGTGGTGTCCTCCAGCCCCTTATCCCCCCAAAGACTTGAGCCATGCTCCCTCTCACCAGCACCTGCCCTGGCCTCCAGCGATCTTCATCCAAATCCACACCCACACACAAAACACGTTGGCCCTAGTCATCGCTGGCACCTGCTCCAAATCAGAAGCTACGGGTACCCAGTTCCAGTCTTCCACATCTGTCTTTCCAGCATCACAGCCACTGTGCTCCACAACATACCACCTGCCCAGGGGGACCTCGTCCCTGACACCTCATCTGTTCTGCTGGGCCACTACCCTCAGTCTCTTCTGACACTTACACTGTGAGTCATTTTCTTCCCATTTGAGCTAGGAAAAAAACGAAGCCACTGACCCTTTGTTTTCACCTTCAGCTGCGTCTAGACCCACCGAAAGGCCCGATGGCCCACCCACCTTAGTCCTTGACCCTGTCCCGGCCCATCAGTTAATCATCCTTCCTCCCTGCTGTGTATTAGCTCCCTCCCCAAAGCAAATAGAATTCTTTCCCGGTTTTTTTGTTTTTGTTTTTTTCCTTGGTACTGGGGATTGAACTCGGCACCTTACGCTTTCGAGACATCTTTCCCATTTTTAAAATTACCTCCCTGACCCTGACTCCCTCACTAGCTACTGGCCCTTCTCTTTCCTCCTCCTTCATTCTTTAAAGCATTTTCTACCTGTATCCACATTGCATCTGCTATAGGTTAAGTGGTCTAGCTGGAGAGCGAGGGACCCTATCAGCAACCTCTGATAAACTTCATTCCTGAGCATTGCAGTTCCCTCTAATCCATCAAGGGAAAGAACAAGGTCTGGTCAGAACTCAGCTGCCCAAGGCCAACCAAAGAGGGAGAGGGAGCCAGGGCTGCCTTACCTAACATAGGTAGAGAATGCGGGCTCACACAGGCCTGAGCACATAGAGTGTGTACGGTTGCAGATGAGGGCATCCGTCCAGGTCTGTGCCTGGCAGGTGCAGATGTACACAAGCATTACAGTGCAGCCCTGTGCTTCCTGACAGACCCAAGTCCACTGCACCCTTGCCTTCCTCCCCTTCCCCAGCCTGCAGTGAAGAGTCCTGGCTTCCTGCCCCTGCCCTGGGCCCTTTATGACTCCTGCTTTCACATTAAGACACATAGGCCTCAAGCTTCTACCACTTTTCCTCCTGCAGGGTTCTACATGAAGGATCACCCCGAGAGAGGGACCCTTGCCCCCCAGGGTCCTAGACTACACTGCAGTCCTGGAGATCAGCTGAGCTAGAAGTGAGGAAGATGTGGGCTTTGAATCAGGAAGGCCTGGTTTGAATCTAGGCCAAACACTCCCTGACCAGACTGAACCTCAAATTCTGTATCTTCTAAAGGGCATAATACATGCCAGTTAAAGTGGCTGCAAAGATTTTTTAAAATAATGTATGGAGACGTGTCGCACACTCCTGTAGTCCCAGCACTGGGGAGGCTGAGGCAGGAGGATTGCTGGGAATTTGAGGCCAGCTTGAACTACATAGTGAACCCTGTCGCAAAAACAAACCCCCAAAAAAGTATGGAAAGTATATAGTCCCATGTAGGGTACAAACAAGTCACTTTGCCTTGCAGTTGGGGAGGAGTTAGTGAACAGTCTGTTCTGTGAAACAGATTCCTTCAAGTTCTCATATGACAGATCAGTCCTCATGCCATTTCTCCAGCACCCAAGCACCAGAGGTAGAACCAGCCTGTGTTCCATCCTTTGTCTGTCTAAACAGTCCTGAGATCAGTACCGCTGTCATTCCCATTCTTCAGATGAGGAGGCTGAGGTACAGAGGGATTAATACATCTTCAAAGACACACAGCTGTTCCAAAGTAGAAACAGGAGTCAAAGGTCAGGCCCTCAACATTTGTCTGCACTGCCTGTCAGGACCAGCTCTTTGTTCTTGCAGCCAGAGAAGAGCCTGAGGCCATGACAGTACACACCACAGGGCCCCAAGGAAGCAGACTCTTATCTGCCTACAAACATGGATATATCCCAAGTGCTGTATATTTTCCCTCCAAGCCACGCAGGAGAATTTGTGCCCTCTCCTGACAAAACAACCCAAGTAGGACTGTCCTTTTCCCTGTGAACTTGCCGGCAAACAACCGACACACACTGGGCTGGGCAGGCAGTTCTCTATTTGGGTTCTGAGTCCTTCCCTGGTGGTAAGAAAACACCTTTCAGCGACTGCCCAGTTTGGGGAGCCCTGCCTAGCCCTCCTCACAGAGCACAGCCTTCATACTTACAGCTAATCAATAAACACAGCCAGCCTGGGCAACATGGTGAGAACCCCCATCTCATAAATAGCTACAGAAAAATTACTGTGTGGAAGAATAAAATCATACCTAAAGCCCCTCCTCTTATTTTTAGGAAGACTGCCAGGAGTGCTGAGGTGAGTCAGCCTTCACACCTGGCCCAAAGCCTCATGTCCTACTTCCTTCGAGCTCTTGCTGCCCACATGTCCTGGGGTGCTCCTGGCATCCCTGTGGGCCCTGGGCTCTCTGTGCATCAGGTCTGATGCAGGGCATATTACACCCCTACCCCAGTCCCAGCATCCTGGGACAGCAGACTCCAAGCTGGTACTTTGTGACCATGGCCAAAACACCTAACCTCTCTAAGCTCGATTTTCTTCATCTATCAATTGAGATGGTTTAGATGAGTAGGCCTCAAATTTGCCTTTTTTCGTATGGGGGGGGTTGTTTGTTTTTGTTTTGTTTTGTTTTGTTTGGTAACAGGGATTGAACTCGGGACCTTGCACTTGTGCGGCAGGCGGCGAAACCACTGAGCTAAATTCCCGGCCCTCGTTTTGTTTTTAAAGACAGGATTTTGTTTGTTGCCCAGACTGGTCTGAAAGGCCTGGGCTCAAGTGATCTTCATGCCTCAGACTCCTGAGTTAGGACTACAGGTGCACATCACTGCATCTAACTTCAATCTCTCTCTTTTTTTTTTTTTTGGTACCAGGGATCAAACTCAGGATCTTGCGTTTGCGAGGCAAGTGCGATGCCACTGAGCTAAATCCCCGGCCCTTTAATCTCTTCTTTTTCACTACAACCCCCAAAACATTTCTAAAACATTATAAATTTTATGCAAGATGGGCTTGGAAAGGACCCTAAACATACACTGTCAACTTCTCTCCTACTCTCCAAGACCCCTTCAGGATCTTACAGAAACTCTGGGAGTCTCATTCTGGATCTCATTACCTACGGGGGAGGAAGGGGCCTGGGCCAAACAGGGTATGGGGGCAGGGTAGAGGAGGGGCAGCTCGATGGTGGCTCAGTGGAGAAGGGGTGATGCTACCCTTCTGGGCAAGGCTCCATTATCTCAGCCTGGGACAAAGGGGCTGGACTGGAGAATCCCATTGTGGGGCCTCCGTAGGGAGATCTCATTAATCTATTCACAGGGGCTCCCACAGGCCTTTTGTCCCCGGCTTTTTGTCTCCTTATAGCTAGTACCCTTGGGGGGGGTCTCTGGGCCCTACCCCTCATGCCATCCTACAGCTGGGAGAGAAGAGGGAGGGTAACAAGAGGACTCTGGAGGACTGATTTTCTGCCACAGCCCTTGCAACACAGGAACTACCTCCCCATACCTCCTAGGCACAGCCAGGTCACCAAATTCTTGCCTGGCAGATGCTCTGGGACCTGGCGCAGGACTTGGCATGGGTCGGGTTAATGCATGTCTAGGGATGGGCAAAAGATGCCAGAGAGGTGGCTGCAAAACTGCTGTCGGCTGGATGCAGCCCGTGTTCTGCAGGTGCACCGTCTTCCAGCTTCTGGGCCTCTCACGATACGTTCAAGGGTCCGCCACAGGCCGGCTGTCAGAGAGGCAGAATTGGATCAGCCTGTGGCCCACGCTCACAGACTCCATCAGCTAACAGGAAGAATAAGGTAGACATGATCCTTAAGAAAGGAAGGAAGTCAAAGCCAGCCTGAATTACATAGCGAGACCATGTCCAAAAGAAAGAAGGAGGGAGGAAAGGAAGGACGGAAAGGCCTGAGAAGCAGGCATGGAAGGATACTGGAAGCTCAACATATCTACTGCACTGACAGTGGTTGTAGTTAATAACAATGAATCGTCACCATCTTGGGGAAGCTTCTCCAGCTTCCCTCTTGGCAGCAAGAGCAGAGGATGGGTGAACTAACTGGAGTCTCTCCTAGTGCCTGGGGCCCCTCCCCTTTCATACTCAAGGACATTGTTCCCTGCATTCTTGAGTGCTGCAGAATAGTTTTCCCTCCTGAAGGAAGCCTGAGATAATCTCTCCAACTCCCTCCCACTTCATCCTCTGCCTGCTTGAGACTTTATTCCCTCCTACTCTCAAGAAAAAGTTTATCGTTGGGTGTACTCCCCTTTCTGATCCCTCTCCTTCTACTTCCTCTTGAAACCCTTCCAGCCAGGCATTCCCAGCACTCCACCAACCGGGTCCCGGCCACTCCTCCAGCTTACAGCACCTCACTCAGCCCCTCAGCCCCTTCTTGAAACACCAGGAGGCCACGCTTCTGACCTCACCTCCTTCTCAGCCTCTTTGGCTCCCTCCCTTCCAACCCTCAAAAGCCTGGGGCTTGCTCCTGTGGCTTTCCTGTCCCTCCCCTGGTCCTGCAGCCTAGATTTCTCCCCTGCACTCCATACTGGCACACGCGTTGCCACTCAAAACTTAATTAGCATAACATGTCCAAAAATCAAACTTCTGGCTTCCCCAACCTACCCTTCCTGGGTCTCTCTCACAGTAGGAAATGGTAGCTTCATCCTTTCTAGTTGTTCAGGCAGAAATCTTGGTGTCATCCTCAGCTTCTCTCTCACACACTTCAGGCCAACACATCCAGTTGACCTTGGTTTTAAAATGTATCTGAAACAAAATATTTCTCGCCACCTCCAGGGATGTCTCTCACCTGAGTAACGGCAAGGGCTTCCAACCTTACCTCCCCATTTCTACAGTGTCTGTTTTCAACACAGTAGGACCCTAAAACACATGTCTGATTACTTCATTCCTCCACCCAAAAATGTCAGCTCCCACCAAAGTGTAGCTCCCACCACACTCAGATTAAAGCCAAAGTCTCACATTAACTGACCAGGTCCTGATAATCTGTTCCCATTACCTCTGGACCTCAGCCGCCATTGTTCTCCCAGACTCCTCTTCCCCTTCAGTCACAATGGCTTTCTGGCCTTTCCTCCCACTCCAGGCTCCCTCCTGCCTCCTGCTCTCACGTGCCTTTGCTTCACTCTATACCAGGAACATTCTACAGCTCATTTCAGCTCTCTGCTCAACTGCCCCCTCAGATAGATATTGTCCCCTCCAACCTGACATTCTGGGTAGCACTCATCCTAATCTGACCTATTTTGTCCTTTCTTGTCTGTATACCCACCAGAAAGTTCCACAACAGAAAGGACTTTGTTCACTGTTTTATCTTAAGTACCTAGGACAGTGCTTCACACACAGTAATTTCTTAATAGACTATACAGGATGGATGGAAGGATGGATGGATGGATGAGCAAAAAGTCTTGAAAAAGGCTTGAAATTGCCTCTGTGTGAATAAAGAAAAAAATGAGTAACTCAAGGTAAACCCACTTGCAATGGCAAGGGTGATAGGAAGAGAAGCCAGGGATTTACCTCAGGAATGGATGGGGAGGGGTGCCCAGAAGAGGAGTTTGTATCTTCAAACCCTATAAGAAAGTGCTCATCCCTGACATGGCTAGAGCCCAAAGGCACGCATCCCAGCTCCCCAGGACCCCCACCTGGCCTCCTTTCTTTTGTTCTTTTTTTTGGTAGTCTCCCTGCCTCTGTTCTCCCCTGTTTCAGGCCTCTGTGGGAGAGGACAAAGCGGGCAATGGAATTCCCATCAAAAGCCTCAGGCACATGGTAAAGAGATCAGGGCCCTTGGGATGCTGCTTCCTGGAGGTGGTGAGGCCTCCCCGACAGCCTGGCTCCTCAGGGATGGGGTTGTGGTGGGGGTGTGAGCTGACCCTCGCCTGCTCATATGTCAAACACCAAACAGCAGGAGGTCAGCCTGGGCAAAACTGGCCAAGTGGCCCCCATCTGGGCAGTGTGTGTGCACACACACGCTGGGGGGAGGGGACAGTGCAGAAATCCCTGCCTGTGTCCGCGGTCAGGGCCACAGCCAAGCTGTGACCATCTGTTGTCGTCTTAAGAGGCCAGGCCAGGCCAGGGTCCTGGCACCCTTGAGGAGTAAGCCTTCCCTTCCTCCCAGGCTTCTAGGGTTTGCAAAGAACTTTCATAGCTATCATTTGGTTTCATCCTCACTTCGTCCCAGTTAAACAGGCACAACCCCCCCTTTTACAGAGGAGGACATGGAGGGTCAGAGAGGGGTAGTGCTTCTCGAAAAGTCATTACAGCTGGTAAAAGGGGGGTGGAACTCAGCCAACTGAGAAACCTCAGCCTTTGCCAAGGTGCCCTTGTTCATGCTCAGAGGTCTCCAGGGCTGGGCTTTCGGGCACAAACATACTCACCCCCTGGCTACTGCTTAGCTCCAGCCCAACCCAATTCCACGTGTCCCCTCCTCTAGGAAGCCTCTTGGACTGACATCCTCAAGGAAGTTCCTAATATGACTCCAACTCTGTAGGCAAAAAAGGCAGTCTTTCCCCCAGTGGCCACTTATCTCCCCTATGGCCCAAGGAGCAGAGAATCCCCTAACCAGGATGACCCACACACCATTTCCATCTGGGGCAGCTCAGCGGACAGGGGAAGGAGCACAGTGTGGTGGGAAGAGTCCTGCCCAAGGCCACACAGTCCCAAAGGAGCAAGGCTGGCATTTGCACCAATGGAAGGGCTTCACTGCAATCCCAGCCTCTAATCCTGTACTGTCCAAATGGCACCTACTAGCCACATGTCGCTATTCTCATTTAAATTCATTAAAATTTAATACAACTAAAATTCAGTTCCTCCATAGCAGTAACCACAGTGCCTGATGATGTTGAGCAGTCATAGCAACATAGATCATTTCCATCATCACAGAAAGTTTGGCTGGAGCTGGGGATTTAGCTCAGTGGTTTCACCCCCTGCTGCACAAGCGCAAGGACCCGAGTTCGATCCCCGATCCCCGGTACCAAAAAAAAAAAAAAGAGAGAGAGTTTGGTTGGACAAGGCAGCTCTGATCGCAGCACGGGCTTGGCTCTGCACCCAGGAAGCTTTCTGACACATCACCTACTCCAATCCTAGCTTTGCCTGGAACTTCCGGGGCCTCGGGAGGACTTCCTCAGGATTTACACTGCATTTCTGAGGCTCCCCAGGTAGTTTTACAGCCACACTGAACTCCCGCTTCCCCTAGAAGCAGGGGAGAGAGAGTGGCCTTCTGGGCCAGACCCCTCCCCCAGACCAGCCTGTCTGCCCTGCTGGGGAGAGGAGGGGCTGGCTGGAGAGCAGGAGAGGAAGGTAGGACAGGGCAGTTTGTCATCTGGCCGTCCTGCCTCCCTCCCCCATCAGCTGCTCAACACCCCTCCCCCACCCTGCCTACCATCCTCATCCTCATCCAATCCCAAAGACAGATGGGGGCTAGCAGAGAAGGAGAAATATGAACACAGTGAAAGCACTCTCAAGTGATGAGAGTCTGGGAGTCACAGCTGTGTCCCCTGAGGCCTGGACACTCCTTCATGTCCAGTCTTGATGTCTAGCCAGGCAGGCCTAGGCTAAAGCAAATCTTAGTGAAGGAAGGGAGAGTTACTGAGCAATGTGGGAATCTGTAGGTGCTGGGTTCCAGCAGATATAATCCCAGTGAAAAATGCAATCACTCATGTGGTCACTCACCCACTCATTCATTCAACACACGTTCACTAAGCCCTACCATGTCAAGATGTAAAGGATGACAGGTGGGCTCCCTAACCAGCTTGACCAGGTAGGAACATGGCTTGTTCTGAGCTGCATGAAGATCCTTTGTCTCTGCCCAGTGGACTGAGCAGGGTGGACACCCTCAACCCCCTCCCCACAAACAGGCACACTTGTATGTCTGCGTGCATTTGAGCACACATACATGCACTCTCAGCTGCTGCTGGGGGCCCCCCTCCCATGGCCTCTCTGGCCAATCACAGCACTGAAGGCTAAGTCCCACTGTCCAGCAGCCCCCAGGGAGTGTATTAGCACATTTGAACCGCTCAACCTGCAACTGACAAAGCCTGGGGCTCAGAGAGAGCTGCAGCAGGAGGGGTGGGGCCTGTGGGGAGCTGTCCTTCCCTCTGCCTCCCAGGGGGAAGCTCAGGACTAGATTAAGCACTCTGGGGCACAGAGGAATTTGGGAGCCCCAGCTCCAGCAGTGACTAAGCGATCCATAAAATCCCAATTTACACACTCACTGATCAAACAGCCTGTCTTCTGCTCTGGGAGGTTGGGGACCTCCATCTGCCACCCACCCCCTCCTTGCAGAAGGTGCTAGACCCCAGACACAGGCTCCCAATGTTTTATGCAGATTCAGTCCTACCTGAAGGGCTCAGGGACCTGCCTGTGCCCCTGTGATCTGGTGCTGAGCTTGGAAGCCACTTTTGTTCACCTCAGAAACCCAGCTCGTTTTTTCCTCTCCAGCTGCCCTGGGGCTGCCAAGGCCTGACTTCAAACTCAGCAGAGCTGCTAATCACTTTTCCAGCTCTGAAGCCCTGCTCTCCTCATAGCCTCTTCTTCCCCACAGCCCCACCCTGCTCTCCCTTGATCCTCTTCCAGGTGCTTTTGCTGCTCAGGGATGCTCTGAGCCCTGTCCTCCCATCACTCCGTGTCCCCACCCCAGACCAAGCAATACCTTGGAACACAGGGTGTTGTGAGGCAGATTCTCTATCCCTAACCCACGTCCCTGTGGAAGCCAAGGAGGAAGAACCAGCCTAGTTATTACCACTGTCCTTCCCACAAAGAAAACAAATGTTTTTCTATCTGCTGCCTAAATTTTGAGTAAGAGAAAACCATTCTGGTTAACAATCACTTTCTTTTAAACCAAAGAGAACCTGTGGGGGTTCCGGGTAATGAGCCACCCACCCCAGCAAAGATTTAGCAAATCTGATTTGCTTTGTCCCTCACTCTGTGGGAGATGGGGAGCAGGAGCAGCCAGAAGTTTTCACCCCAGCCAGGTAAGATGAGTAGGGAGCTGGCATTTGCTTGGAGGGCAGCACAGCCCCGCCGCCACACCCCTCTTCTGATGACCATAGAACTACAGGGTGGACTTACTCCTGGGCCCTGGGGAAAGGCACAAAGGACATAAGTGTAACCCTCTCTCTGCTTCCCAGAGAGCTCCAAAGGCACACCTCGGCTGTCATCTGCCGGAGGCCACAGGTACTGGGCTAAGGGCTTGCTCTCCATCTCGGGAAGAGGGATTACTGTGTGAGTCCATCCCACCCACCGTGGCGCACACTCCTTCCCTTCCTCTCCCCGTTTCTCACCTGGACCCACTATGAACTTGAATGAGATAGGGTTCTAAAGCCCAGCCAGAAAGACTGACCCAGGGCTGGGGTCTCTGAGCCCACTCTAGCAAGCCTGGGGAGCCATGTCAAGGTCACAGCACTCCCCTCCCTCTATGGCTCATTTGTTGTAGGCAGTGAGCACTGGCCTTGGAATCAGCTCGGAGGTCTGAGGCAAGAATCCCTGGATCAGCTTCCTCCAGTGTGAAACGAGAGGAAGGACAGGATCCCCTCACAGCTGGCCTGAGGGCAGTGAGGAGGGGAGAACCTTGCACACTCACCAGAGGGGCAGGGCTGGGCCAGGACAGCAGGGCAGGGACCAGGGGCAGGCTCCAGCTGGGCTCCTAAGAGGCTGGCTACATGCTTCAGCCTGGCAAAGCCTCCAATGGGGACTCTCCTGGGCCAGAAGGACCCAACAGCTTTGAAGAACAACTTCAAGGTCAGAAGTGCAGCTTCAGAGCTACCTGCTGGGCCCAGCAGGGTGTCACGCTGCAGGAGAGAGCTGCCTGACCTGCCCCTGACCACCTGACCATCACTGAGTCTGAAGCCCAAACCAGGACTTCCCGGGATGACAGCCTGACCCTTGACCTCTCTCACCTGTGTCCTTGAACATTTCTCATCAGCTTCTCTGCCAATAGAGAAAGAGCCCCAGGACCCTGCACCTCCCTTCTCTCAGCACTTCTGTCATTCAGAAACTGCCAAGCACATGTGTCCACTTCAGGTCTCTCTTCCGTGCCCACGATATCCCAGACCCAACTTCATCCTGAGCCCCACTTTTCACTGTCCTTGGGAATCTAGATGAAAAGATGGAGGGTCCTCTGTGGGTCCACAAAATCCTCAAGCTTAATGCCCAAGGAAACACCTTCACCTTCTCCCTCTGGAGTCCCTCTGCCCACCTAGGCTGGAAATCAGAGCTCCTGTGATTCCACCTCTTGGAGCCACCGCCTATTCAGGGGTCAGAGTCTGGCTGACATTCCCTCCAATTTGCTTCCCCACAGCCTGCCCCACCTCTGAACTCACTGCCTCTGCTCTCTGCCCTCCTGGCCGCCAGGGAGCTCCACCTACCAGAACACAGACACAACCTCCTACCAACCACAGAGCAGAGGGGTCAGTTTGTCCTCCCTTCAACCTCAGACCCAGCCATGGCCACCCCTCCAGCCACGGCAGACCGTCCTCTGGGACACACACTTCACAGCCTTTGCTCAGTCTGGCCCCTCCGCCTGGGCTCCGTGTCTACCCTGCTGTCCCACTGGGGGTGCCCAGGCCTTTAAGTCACTGATTCAGAGGCTGCTGCTGGCTGTTGCTGCGAGTCCCAGACACCTCAGCCCTGCCTCTCAGATGCCTCACTGAGAGTTGACGTCACTTGTTAACCTGGGCTCTGCATCCTTCCCCTGTTGGGCCATCCCTGCCCATGTCTCCAGCCCAGAACCCTTTCTGCTCTCCTTTCACCCTGTCCTTCCCTCCCTCACCGTCTTCCCTTGTGCAGAGAGCCTGGAAAGAGAGGCCCCTGGAGCAAGGCTGAACCACACTGTTTTATACTAATTACTTTGTTTTAGGACAGTTGGCCCTCTGGATCGACTGGTTCTACACCTCGGATTGAGCCAAGTACAGACTGAAATATTCACAGGAAAAAAATGTGCCGTACTGGACATACACAGACTTCATCATTATTCCCTAAATGATACATTGTAGTAACTACTTACATAACAATAACATTTACAGGGCCAGGGATTTAGCTCAGTGCTTCTGTCACCTGCCCCACAACCACAAGGACCCAAGTATGATCCCCGGTACAAAAAGAAAACTTATATTATATCATCTATTAAAAGTAATCTAGAGATGGTTTAAAATATATAAGAGCCAGGTTGGGCATAGTGGCACATGTCTGTGATTCTCAGCACTCGGGAAGCTGAAGCAGAAGGATCTCTATGAGTTCAAGGCCAGCCTGAATTACATAGGGAGACCCTGTCTCAAAAAAAAACAAAACAGCCAGGCATAGTGGCGCACACTCAGGAGACAGAGGCAGGAGGATTGCTAGAAGTTCAAGGCCAGCCTGAGCTACATGGTGAGTTCAAGACTAGCCTGAACTACAGTGAGCTAAAAAAAAAAAAGAAAAAAAAATCACACACAGAGGAAGATATGCAAAGGTGTTAAGGAAATACTACACCATTTTGTATAAGGCCCTCGAGGGCCTTGTATAATGGCCTTGTATAAGGCCACTCTTAAGGGCCTCCAGCACTCCTGGATTTGGGTACACATGAGGGTCCTAGGACTAATCCCCTGAAGATACATCAAAGATCAATTATAAATTCTGTTTTGTTGTTGCTGCTTTCTTGTAGTGCTGGGGATTGAATCCAAAGCATTTCAGATGCTGAGCATGACATCTCTCACTGAGCAACACTCCCAGCCCCTGCACTTACTTTAAAGATGGTTTGCTTTTTCACTGCAGTGGAGCCCTGTGCTCTGCTCCACCAGGAGCCAGCAGCACAGCCCCGCAGTGGAGTGTGGGGGACTCAACGAGCTTACATATGGGGCGGACACAGGTACCTAGTGAAGGAGGTCGTTTCCCGTCATCTCGTCCCGTTGGGACACCACTGCCATCTGCAGCTGGCCAAGCTCCGTGTTGGGCCCCACTTCGAGGGTCTGCCCTGGGGCTCATCTTCCCTCAAGACTTGGCCCTGCACGGGCATGAGCTAGAGAATAAGGTCAAGGCTTCTGGCCAGACCCCTCTGCAGGTAGGAAGCCTGTGGCCTATTCTTAAATGTAACTGTTTGGTTGGGAATGTGGCTCTGTAGCATAGAGCTTGCCTAACATGCATGATGCCCTGGGTTTGATCCCCAGCACCAAAACACAATTTTTGTTCAATATACAAAATAAAAATATATGGGTCTGCAAAGGGAATTCATAACACTGGAATACAATTCTACCCATACACATATCAGGAGTCTCTCAGCCCAACAGTCTGAGTCTCCTCAAAGGTCTCACACTGCCCATCAACCCAGCAGAGTAGGACTGGGGTTACCTTGAGTCCTGAGTGGCATGCACCTTCCAAAATGCTTAAGGTTAAAATCTGAATGATCCTACTTCCCTGGCCCTAAATACGCCCCCACCCTGTGCAGGAGGGTAGTGAAAGGCGTGCCTCTACAGGGCTGGCCTAACCAAAGGTGATGAAACAGGCCCAGGCAGCCCACCCAGTCAGCCCCAGGACTGCATCAGCCCCTCCCAGCCCTTTCCCAGCCCTGGGGGTGCTGAGCTAAGTCACTCGGCTATGCAGCCAGGCCGGTCCACCTGGGCTGTCCTCAAAGGGGGTGGCCCCCACACCTGCAGGGCCATGGAGACAGTGAGAGGAGAAACGAAGAGGGCTTTAGGTAGACTGAACAGCCACAGCCTCTCCTCTGGCAGCTCCCAGGGGGTTCTCAGCACACATGCCATGCTTTGCACACGGTAGCTGTTTAATCCTCACACGAACCTCAGGACAGTACTCCCATGTAACAGATGAGGAAACTGAGGCACAGATCACTTGTCTAGGTCACCAGGTGTGGAGTGCCACACACCTGGATAGGCTGGCTCCAGATGCTCCTCTGTCTCCCACATGAACAGCAGATGATGTTGTTCCCATTTAACAGCCAAGATGAAAGACATCTGGATTCACAGAAGGACCTGGCCCTGTCTGAGAGCCTGTGCAGTGTCCAGAGTGTTGAGCTCTTCATCACTAGGGGCATTTGGCATCAGAGGCTCCCGTTGCTGCCTTGCACGCTCCCAGCCAAAGGGAAGCACATCCCCTCCTCTCACCAGTTATCGAGGGTCACCACACTCAGATGTCTACAAACATCCCTGCAAACCCTGCAGACTCAATCAGTCCCAACCTGAAAGCCAAACATCTCTTCCCCAATCCCCAAGCTGCCTTCTCCCTGCCACTAAGGCAGCTCCATATTTCTCCTCAAGGGGCTCAGACCCCAGAACTCAGGACTGCAGAGGGCTACAGCGCAGAAGAGGGTGATATGGACTCCATCCCACACAGCACAAGGCTGCCTGAAAAAGAAGCCCCTTCCTGGAAGGAGGGTCCAGTGCTGTGCTCTGAATGTCCCCTCCACTACTCATGTTGTGAGCTCACTGTCATTCTAACAGTATTAAGGGGCAGGACCTTTAAGAGGTGATTAGGGCAGGGAAGGCTCTGCCCCCACTGCAGGAGTGGGCTAGTCATCCTCAAGCGGGCTCCTGGGAGGAGTTCAGCCCGGTTTCCCTTCTCTGTTTCAGACTCATGCTTTGTTAGGACACAGCATGGAAGCCCTTGCCAGATGCTGGCACCAGGCTTTTGGACTTCTCAACCTCCTGCAACCAAATAAACTCCTGTTCTTTGTGAAGACCTGGGCTGTGTTATCTATTGTAGCAGCAGAAAATGAACTGAGACCCCCCTGGTGGCCAGAGTTCCCAGGGAGCCCCCCTGGGAACACACAGGCTGGGTGGGGGACAAAGCAACCTGATGCAAGGGTGGGGAAAGGCAGTCTAACCTGAATCCACCAATTTGCTTTCCCCACTGACCTGGAAAGAACAAACACTCCCAGACTTGAACATCCACTGGTTCCTCAGGGCAGTTGGCTGCAGGTGGATCTACTTCATCTGTGGCCCTTGTCCCAGTTTCAGCTCATTCCCACTGACACAGCCTCCTCCAGGAAGACCACCTCTTAAGGCCTCCACTGAGGCAAGACCCTGCTGCCCCGTAACCAGCCTGCCTCCTCTAGGCAGTTCCACCCCAATCCCACTTCTGTGCACTCTGCACAGCACTGAGCTGAGTGTGCAACCATCTAGATCACATGCCCTCGGAGGCTCCTTTCTACTCAGGCAATGGAAGGGTGGTGGTCCTCAAAGTGGAGTCCGTTCCTTTGCCTCTCTGCTGGTCCTCAACATCTTGGAAGCTCCTCCACACTGGAACCACATCAAAACATAATGGGTGTTGGAGGAACGGCTACTTGGATAAAATACCCGTGGCCTGGCAGCCATGGTTCATACCAGGGCCCGTGGCAAGGCAACAGGAGGGCTGGAGACATCCTCTAGCACCCCATGGCCATGTGGGAGGCTGAGATTTGTTAAGGGAGACCCCAGGCATGAGAGCCCCAGCTCAGGGTCTGGCACATAGGCCCCAGTGAGTATGTGGGGTGTGTCAGGGTCCTATGAACTGTGACCTCCCTGCACACGCTCTGGAGCACTGGGGTATACCCAGGACCTTGCACAGTGCTGGGACACAGCGGGAAGGTCCTCAGCACAGGTGAGTTCACAGCATATGAAGCAGCCTCTTCAGCATAACCCTAATTAATCCCAGAACCAAGCTGGGGACCAGGTGGCCTGGGAGTCCGCCAGTGAGTGAAAGGGGATGGAGGAAGTGTGCGTTCACCTCCCAGAGTCCTGCAGAGCCACGCTGGCTCTCCTCTCCCCCTCCTGCCCGTCTCCACCATGACTCTACTTGGGAAGCAGCTCAGGGATGGCTCAGGCAAGCCCTGGCATGGGCCAGAACCCTCACGCACATCCTGTTTACCTCCTTGCTCCTATGCCGGGAGATGGTTTTCTGGAGTCCCTGGACTCTGAGTCACTGAGCAAGTCATTAGAGGGGGTGTGTACTTAGAAGACGAAGGGGCAAACTTAGGCCCATGTCACCAACATGTGAGGGAGGCTCTTCTTGTTTTACAAATGAAGAAATCAAAAAACAGTTGAAGTCACTTGTCCCAGATTACAGCTGATTTGCTCGGCAGGCAGGGTCACTGCAGGTCCGGGATTGGTCCCTAGAGTGAGGGCCAGGACCAGTCATCATAAAACAGTTGGGCTGGGCATGGTGGTGCATATCTGTAACCCCAGCACTCTGGGAGGCTGAGGCAGGAGGACTTCAAGTTCAAACCTAGCCTGGCCCACTCAAAGACTTTGCAAGATTGCCTCAAAATAAAAAATATGGAAATGTAGCTCAGTGTGAAGGCTGCTCTGGGTTCAATCCCCAGTACTACAAAAAAAAAAAAAAAAAAAAATGAAGGATAGGGCCACAGGCTCCACTCTTCCATTCATTGAGAACTCCTTCCCCACCTCCAGCCCTCAAAGTGAAGCCCAAGGCTGACATACTACAGTATAAAGGAAAAGACAGCAAGACACCCAGGGAGGTCCCACTGCAATCTGTTTCCTTGGCTTGGCAAGGCAGGGAGATGTCCCAGGGCAATCACAGCTCTGACCACTTTCAGATGCATTTCTGCCCCACCCTCACAGACCCAGAGTCTTTCAAGACCAGAACTTGGGTCTCCCAAGACCTGCCTCACTTAATCCTCAAGACCGTATTTATGAGCAGGACATCAGTCTTAGTCTCACTTCGAGAAGACAGAGACTGTTTAATAAATGCTAAGTGTTAACAGAGCCATCAAGATCCTCATGAAAATGCTCCAAGAAGAACAAGGCTTTCTTGCCACTCACCTTTGTTCCTACGGTAGGCCAAGTGGACCCTGAAACAAAACTAAACAGTCCCTGAAGCCTCTCACCAGGCCACACAAGTGGAGATGAAGTGGCCAGCCCAGACCTTGACCCAGGGATTGGGAACATTCCCACCTGAAGCACAACCCAGCACCTCCAGCATCACTGCTGGCCCTGTGTCAGGCTGTCCTCTGCCAGGAATAAGGCCACAGGCAAGCAGTGAGTGTGGAGATCAGGAAACCTGGGCTACAGACCAGACTCTGCCCTCAGTACCTCACAGAGGGCGTATTGGAGGAGGGGTTCTGGATATAGCATCCCAGGGGCTTCAGGGTATCCAAAAAGACTCCAAAGGAGAATGAAAGCTCTCCTCTCGAATAATGGCAGTATACTTTTCAGAGATGCCTTTCACAGTATGAGGACTCTGCAAATCAAAACAAGTTATGAATCTCCAGACTGGCTTTTCTGGGGTGTTGTGGATTGAACCCAGGGCCCCCTCCACACTAAGCAAGGGCTCTACCACTCAGCTACAGCCTAGCCCAGTGACCACCAGGCTGAGTAATCCCAAAGAGTCCTTCCTTCCAGAACCTGAGTATTCTTGGGTGGTGTGTATTTAAATGTAAATCTGGCTCCTCATCCTGCAAGGCTAAGTCAGCTGTGGCTCCGGGAAACTCAGATTTCTTGCCATGTGTATTTGTGGGAGCTGGTGATGGAACCCTGGGCCTTGGAGCACAAGCTTTACCCTTAGGCTACACCTACAGCCCTATCTCTTATTTTTCTGACTTCAGGGAAAGCCTTGGGATCCAATGCCACACAGCACCCAGGGTCTCTCTCTGTCCAGATGTCCGTTAGTCCTCCACCCCCCCAAAAGAAGGCAGGGCCATCCCAAGGCTAAGCTGGAAGAAGACACCAGTACACCCCACAGTCTGTCAAGAGCAGCTAACCCATGGCCTCTGACTCCTGTAGGTGAGGCCCCTGGCAGTGGACCACAGGTGCATCCAGGCCTTGGGTCCCTTTTTCCAGGAGAGAGCCCTGGAACCTCACTGAGTCATGCTCCTATGAGGAACCTGCTTCTCATTAAATAGGGCAAAGGAGTCATTAAAGGCCACATCCAGAAGAGGCAAAGTTCTGCTAGAAGGCTCCACGAGGGTGAGGGAGCCCAGCCTGTCCCCTGCCCTCCTTGGCTGACTGGCGGTGGGGGCAGGGAGAGTCTGGGCTCCTAAGGGTCCAGTAACTTCAGCAGCAGCAGCTGGGGGTGGGGAGTGGGGGAGCCTTGGCCCAGATAATAAGCAATTGTTAATGTGATCCATATGGATCCTGACTGGCCTCTCTGTTGAACAGGATGATAATGGCAGGGAAAGAATGCTGGTCTGTGGGGAAGGGAAGGGGCAAAGTCCTCCCCGGCTTGGGGGGGTGGGGAGAGGCATCGAGGAGGAGGAGGAGGAGGAGGAGAAAGAGGAGGGAGAAAAGGAAGAAAAGGAGGGGAGGAGACCCACCCAGGGGTCTCCACCAGTTCCAGAGAACAGAACTATTTACCTGAAAATGGCCAGATTCCATGCTTTTTGGGCTGCCTGGCTTAATGCCCTTACAAACCCCTTTGACTCAGCCAAAAAATATTTATGGGGCACCCACAAGATGCCAAACCCTGGAGGGAGCCAGGGAGGGGAATATATGCTCTGTCTCTGCTCTCTGGCAAAGCCTAATTTGGTCGCAGTCACAAAGGCAAAAAGGAGGCACAGGTGCAGGACTGGGAGACCATGGAGAGAGGAGCAAGTGACAAGAGCTGAGAGCTCTGGGGAGGCCATGGTGGGAAGTGTGGCATCAGAGCTGGGCTTTGAAGAATGAGGAGGTTGTGGCAAGACAGGGACAATGGGAAGGCATTTGGCTGAGGGACCAGCAGGAGCAAAGGCAGAGAGGCGTGAAATTGCGTGGAGAGTCGGAGATCTCAGCAATAAAGCTGCAGCCCAGGCAAGGGAGGGGAGGGGATTCTTGAACCATAAAAAGCTGTGGCCATGGATGACCAGTAGGAAGGAAAAAGCACTGGAGCACCACACAGGGGTCTGGGTCCCTCTCCCCTGCCTCCCTCCCACTGTGTACTGGAATTGTAAAACCAGGGATCCCCCCTCCCCCCAGCAGCTCACGGCCACACTACAGCCAGAGACTCACACAGGGATGACCTGGGAGGCCAAACTCATCCCTGTATCTCTCCGCCCCCTCTCCTCTCTTGTGGAAATGGGGGTTCCCTGAAGACTGGAGGTTATCTGGGTGTCACCAAGAGCAACTCCACTGCTCCACACAGCTAAATCCCCTTTGGCCCAAGAGGGCTTCCCCCAGAAAATATTACAGCAAGGGCACGAGGGTCGCTTCTGGCTGCTGTGGACCCCAATGGACTCAAGTGGAAATAAATGAAATGGTGTTAAACAGGGAAAGGGGGATTTACGAGGCCTGTCACCCAAGCCAGCAGAGCCAACCGGGCAAGCCCCGCCCCTTTCCTCGCCCACCCCAGTTAGTCCCGCCCCGCCCCTCGGCTCTGGCTCCAGTGCGGCATCCTCGCCCAGCTCCTGGGTTGCCGCAGCCCAGCAGCGGGGAGCAATCCAGAGCATCCATCCATGTGGGGCTAAGGCACAGCAGAGAACAGCCTTTGCTACTGGCCTAGGGCGCTCCGGGTGGGGACTGATTCCAGAAGGAAGCTCGGGGCCTCAGACGGACTTGGGGGGAGGGGTGTCCGGGACTCCCTCTGCACGGTGAGAGGTCTTTGGACCGCAGCATCACCTGGCCCCCTCCGCAGGCCGGACGGTTCCAGAGCACCCCTCAGGCCCCAGGAACAGAGAAGCCCCCACGCCATAAGCCCAGAGTGGGACTGGAACCGGGTCCCCACTCCACACTACGGGTGGAGGCCAGGAGCCCTCTCTGCCGCTGCAGCCCGAGCGGACGACAGCACAAACATTCTTCCGTCCTCTATTCTCCTCCAAATTAGGTATCCATGGAGACAGGGCCGGCAGCCTGACAGCCCCACGGCCTAATCCTGATTTAGTGACGGTCCCTTTAACAGCCCACCCACCCACCCCTGCGCTCCAGGCCGCTGCGGGGCGCAGGCTCCAGACCGTTCGCCTTCTCCCCGCGCAGACCCCTCCGCAGCCTTCCGCCGGGAGGGAACGTGGAGTCGGAGGGGACTAACATTTGCCTACTGTGTGCCCAACACTCTGCGGAGGACGCTCACGGAGGGATCCCAGCCTGGGAATCTCTGCGGGGTAGACCAGGAGAGGGCTCTCGGAGTGGGGAAGGTTAAAGGGCCGGGAACCCAGGGGTCCCCCCTGTAGCTAGGGGCCTGGGGTGAAGGGGAGCAAGGCTTCTGGCAGCGCCTCGGTTCGGAGGTGGGGCTGCGCTCTCCCGACCAGGCGCGCAGACACCGAGGCGCGAGCGCTGGGGCGCAGGGATCCGAAGTAGCCCGGACCTCCTGTCACTGCCCCGTCCCCGTGCTGGGGAATCTCGGGGCCGGGAACCCAGCCCCCACCCCTCCCGCACGCACAGAGGCCTCCGGACAAAGACCTGACGGAGTGGGAGGGGCCTGCGGGCCGGCCCTCGGGCTCCGGCCGAAAGATCCTTCTGGGACCCGAACCCTCAAATCCCGGATCCCACCCCCAACCCCACAAACTCCCGGGAGCCCGCGGCTCTAGAACGCCACAGCCCCCGCACCGGGGCGGACTGCGAGGCTGGTGCTCTTCTGCGGCCGAGCGCGACCCCCTCCTCTGCTCGCCCCCCGGGAAGTGACCCTCGTCTCCCACGCAGCCGCTGGGGTTCCGGCCTACCTTGCCCTCCGACCTCCGCCTGTTTGAACCCCGCGACCCGCAGCTCCCGCCCCGCCGCCCCCGCACGGCTCCGCGCCCGCGGACAAAGCTCCGGACACCCCGGCCACAGTCGCCACCCCCTGACCCCAGCCCGCTTTCGCCCGCGCCCCGGCCCGCTACGCGTACCTCGGCATCCCGGCCGGGTCCTAGGTGAGTGTACGCGGCCCGGGGGGGCGTCCGGCCC